TCCTCTATGTGTCTCTATGTCCCCCCAATCCTCTATGTGTGTCTTTGCCCCCCAATCCTCTATGTGTCTCTTTGTCCCCCCCAGTCCTCTGTGTGTCTCTATGTCCCCCCAATCCTATATGTGTCTCTTTGTCCCTGAGGAGTCCTCCTATGTGTCTCTGTCCCCCCAATCCTCTATGTGTCTTTTGCCCCAATCCTATATGGCTGTCTCTTTGTCCCCCCAGTCCTCTGTGTGTCTATGCCCCCCCATCCTCCTATGTGTCTCTATGTGTCCCTGATCACTCTATGTGTCTTTTACTTTAATCCTATATGTGTCTCTTTGTCCCCAGTCCTCTGTGTGTCTCTATGTCCCCCCAATCTATATGTGTCTCTTTGTCCCCCCCAATCCCACATGTGTCTCTTTGTCCCCAATCCTATATGTTGTCTCTTTGTCCCCCAGTCCTCTGTGTGTCTCTGTGTCCCCAATCCTATATGTGTCTCTTTGTCCCCCAATCCTATATGTGTCTCTTTGTCCCCAATCCCTGTAATGCTTTGTCCCCCCAGTCCTCTGTAATGTCTCTGCTCATCCCCAATCTATATGTGTCTCTTTGGTCCCACCAGTCCTCTGTGCCTCCCCCATTCTGTTATTGTCTCTTTGTCCCAGTCCTATGTCCCCCCCATTCTGTGAGTCTCTTTGTCCAATCCCACATCCAATTGTGTTCTCTTCCCCCAACCTGTTTAAGACAGACCACGTTGGAGGAACTGATGTTTTCTCTAAACAGTCTAACAGGAAGCTGCTCATTGCTCTTAATGAACACTTCCTTTCAGACCGGGTAGAGGATACAGAAAATCCTCTATCACGGTCTACTCTGCCACGCTGCATTGCCAGTCACCCGGACGTTACACCCTTGGCTCAGTAATATCTAGACAGCTGCCTAGATAGTCTAGCGGTGCGCCGGCCCTGAAGGTGGGATAATAATGTAATCAGGTTTGTTATAGATATAACATTTTACCCACTATCACCCACATTACACGTTTCAGATGTATTCAATGTTAAGATATGTTTACAATCTTACTGGAAGACAGTTCATGTAGCACCAATAAAGGATCTTAACATGCATAGCTTGGAGGAAAGACGGGACAGGGGGGATATGATAGAAACATTTAAATAAAGAAAATTTAACACAGTTAAGGAGGAGACTATATTTAAAAGAAGAAAAACTACCACAACAAGAGGACATAGTCTTAAATTAGAGGGGCAAAGGTTTAAAAATAATATCAGGAAGTATAACTTTACTGAGAGGGTAGTGGATGCATGGAATAGCCTTCCAGCTGAAATGGTAGAGGTTAACACAGTAAAGGAGTTTAAGCATGCGTGGGATAGGCATAAAGCTATCCTAACTATAAGATAAGGCCAGGGACTAATGGAAGTATTTAGAAAATTGGGCAGACTAGATGGGCCTTCTTATCTGCCGTCACATTCTATGTTTCTATTCTATGTTTCTATTCTATGTTTCACTTGCTCTGTGATATATATCTTTCCTGGGCTATTTTATAAATCCAATTTATCTGATTTAGTATCAACCCTCTCATAACTGAAAGAGATCTGCATCCCGTCAATGTGAGGATTAGTTGCTCCAGTTACAGTCATTCCTGAAGAATAAGACATTGTACATGTAAGGAGAAAGTCGTGCGCCGTTCTCACCTCAAACGCAATGATGAATCCCAGGCGAATGGCGAGCAGCTTCCAGTAAAAGAGAGTGTAGCTGCCATTTTCATCACGGAATGCTTTATACCTACAAAACACACAGTGCACACAGTCTGAGCACCGCTATGTAAAAGTCACTGTTATAACGAAATACAGAGCAAGACTTCTCTTAACACTTCCCAACACATTGTGTGGTTTTATGGCACTTTTTACTTACCATGGTTTGTTTTTGTGGCCCTCGTAGCTGCAAATGGTGTATCTTGTGGCCCTCTTACCTACACATGGTGTATCTTGTGGCCCTCTTACCTACACATGGTGTATTTTGTGGCCCTCTTACCTACACATGGTGTATTTTGTGATCCTCGTACCTGCACATGGTGTGGTTTCCTGACACATAGCTATGTGGAGAGTATGACAGGGTAAAGTTGAGGTATCCATCTAGGTTGCTGTTATATTCGTATTGATAAAGGAGCCGTGGGAGAAAGTCAGAGGTGAAAGCGATGAGGAAGGCCTGCAGGGATGAGAAATCGACATGGAACACACTCTGCCTTCCAACAATCCCACCACAAAATCCTCTTCATTTACTTACATTTACAATTACAGAAACTTGTGCCAAGGCTTCAAGCAGCAAAAACCAGACTCCGATATGCTGGGCCCGCTCCGCCACTGGACGACGATATTCACACACAAATTTCTGGGCGTCCAGGCGAATCTCCACCCAATTATTTAGCAGAGCAAAGAGAGGTGCAAGTGGGAACGCAGCCACGAATATGGTGATGAATCCAAACTGCAAAACTGGGATAGACTGAACCGTGAGATTGTCCACTGACCATAGATGGTGCTGATGGTGAGGTCATATGTCCCCATCAGATGAATATAGGACGTTATGGTGCTTGTATAGATACATTAAACTATTATACCTTTCATGTTATACATTATAAGGGTTACTCACTAAAGTGAAAATTTAAAGTAAATTAAAAGTGAATTTCAAATTTAAGGTCAATATAGCATTCTGAAACCATTTTCTAAGCTAGCTATGCTTTCATTTCAGATACTCTGGCCTTGATTTATTCATTAAGGATGAGCTGCACTAACTACAATCATTAAAAATTAGAAAAATCACCGCTGTAATGGCTTAAATTACCACGGTCAGTCCCAGTCACTTGTTTTCTATAATCCTTCCGAATTATGAAAATACGTCTTTCTTTGATGTTTAATAATGTTTTGTGTTTAAAGAAAATTGTCAATCAAATTTCTGGGCGTCCAGGCGAATCTCCACCCAATTATTTAGCAGAGCAAAGAGAGGTGCAAGTGGGAACGCAGCCACGAATATGGTGATGAATCCAAACTGCAAAACTGGGATAGACTGAACCGTGAGATTGTCCACTGACCATAGATGGTGCTGATGGTGAGGTCATATGTCCCCATCAGATGAATATAGGACGTTATGGTGCTTGTATAGATACATTAAACTATTATACCTTTCATGTTATACATTATAAGGGTTACTCACTAAAGTGAAAATTTAAAGTAAATTAAAAGTGAATTTCAAATTTAAGGTCAATATAGCATTCTGAAACCATTTTCTAAGCTAGCTATGCTTTCATTTCAGATACTCTGGACTTGATTTATTCATTAAGGATGAGCTGCACTAACTACAATCATTAAAAATTAGAAAAATCACCGCTGTAATGGCTTAAATTACCACGGTCAGTCCCAGTCACTTGTTTTCTATAATCCTTCCGAATTATGAAAATACGTCTTTCTTTGATGTTTAATAATGTTTTGTGTTTAAAGAAAATTGTCAATCTCCAACCTGTGAGTCCTGCCCATAGGCAATGCAATGTACCTACTACAAACCAGTATGACTTCAACTCACCCATTTCTAGATATTCTTCAAAGAGTCCTTCGCATTCAATGAGTTCATAGTCTTCCTCCCAGCGTTTGGGCTCCTCGCAGAGCTGAGTCCCTCGCACTTTGGCCAACTGTCGCTTCTGGCGCCATGATTTTAATTTTCTGCGTAGACATGGACAGAAGGTTTAGGAAGGATCATGGAAATATGGGCTGACTAATCAATAGAGACAAACTAATACAATGGGAGAACAGTCACTAGGAGTCAGCATGCTGGAGCAGAGGGAAAGGCAGGCATTTGATGGGGGGGCAGGCAGACATGGAGTGGGGGGAAAGCAGGTATGGTTTGGGGGAATGCAAGTACAATGGGAAGAAAGCAAGTCTGTTCTGTGATATAGTGTACTGTTTACTATAGATCCCCTGTTCTGTGATATAGTGTACGGTTTACTATAGATCCCCTGTTCTGTGATATAGTGTACGGTTTACTATAGATCCCCTGTTCTGTAAGATGGTGTACGGTTTACTATAGATCCCCTGTTCTGTGATATGGGGTACTGTTTACTATAGATCCCCTGTTCTGTGAGATGGGGTACTGTTTACTATAGATCCCCTGTTCTGTGAGATGGTGTACTGTTTACTATAGATCCCCTGTTCTGTGAGATGGTGTACTGTTTACTATAGATCCCCTGTTCTGTGATATAGTGTATGGTTTACTATAGATCCCCTGTTCTGTGATATAGTATACGGTTTACTATAGATCCCCTGTTCTGTGAGATTGTGTACGGTTTACTATAGATCTCCTGTTCTGTGAGATGGTGTACTGTTTACTATAGATCCCCTGTTCTGTGATATAGTGTACTGTTTACTATAGATCCCCTGTTCTGTGAGATGGTGTACTGTTTACTATAGATCCCCTGTTCTGTAAGATGGTGTACGGTTTACTATAGATCCCCTGTTCTGTGAGATGGTGTATGGTTTACTATAGATCCCCTGTTCTGTGAGATGGTGTACGGTTTACTATAGATCCCCTGTTCTGTGAGATGGTGTACGGTTTACTATAGATCCCCTGTTCTGTGATATAGTGTACGGTTTACTATAGATCCCCTGTTCTGTGAGATGGTGTACGGTTTACTATAGATCCCCTGTTCTGTGAGATGGTGTACTGTTTACTATAGATCTCCTGTTCTGTGAGATGGTGTACTGTTTACTATAGATCCCCTGTTCTGTGAGATGGTGTACGGTTTACTATAGATCCCCTGTTCTGTGAGATGTGTACGGTTTACTATAGATCCCCTGTTCTGTGATATGGTGTATGGTTTACTATAGATCCCCTGTTCTGTGAGATGGTGTACGGTTTACTATAGATCCCCTGTTCTGTGAGATGGTGTACTGTTTACTATAGATCCCCTGTTCTGTGAGATGGTGTACTGTTTACTATAGATCCCCTGTTCTGTGAGATGGTGTACTGTTTTCTATAGATCCCCTGTTCTGTGATATAGTGTACGGTTTACTATAGATCCCCTGTTCTGTGAGATGGTGTACTGTTTACTATAGATCCCCTGTTCTGTGAGATGGGGTACGGTTTACTATAGATCCCCTGTTCTGTGAGATGGTGTACTGTTTACTATAGATCCCCTGTTCTGTGAGATGGTGTACGGTTTACTATAGATCCCCTGTTCTGTGAGATGGTGTACTGTGTACTATAGATCCCCTGTTCTGTGATATAGTGTACTGTTTACTATAGATCCCCTGTTCTGTGAGATGGGGTACTGTTTACTATAGATCCCCTGTTCTGTGAGATGGGGTACGGTTTACTATAGATCCCCTGTTCTGTGAGATGGTGTACTGTTTACTATAGATCCCCTGTTCTGTGATATAGTGTACTGTTTACTATAGATCCCCTGTTCTGTGAGATGGTGTACTGTGTACTATAGATCCCCTGTTCTGTGAGATGGTGTACTGTGTACTATAGATCCCCTGTTCTGTGAGATGGTGTACTGTTTACTATAGATCCCCTGTTCTGTGAGATGGTGTATGGTGTACTATAGATCCCCTGTTCTGTGAGATGGTGTACGGTTTACTATAGATCCCCTGTTCTGTGAGATGGTGTACGGTTTACTATAGATCCCCTGTTCTGTGAGATGGTGTACTGTTTACTATAGATCCCCTGTTCTGTGATATAGTGTACTGTTTACTATAGATCCCCTGTTCTGTGAGATGGTGTACTGTGTACTATAGATCCCCTGTTCTGTGAGATGGTGTACTGTGTACTATAGATCCCCTGTTCTGTGAGATGGTGTACTGTTTACTATAGATCCCCTGTTCTGTGAGATGGTGTATGGTGTACTATAGATCCCCTGTTCTGTGAGATGGTGTACGGTTTACTATAGATCCCCTGTTCTGTGAGATGGTGTACGGTTTACTATAGATCCCCTGTTCTGTGAGATGGTGTACTGTTTACTATAGATCCCCTGTTCTGTGATATAGTGTACGGTTTACTATAGATCCCCTGTTCTGTGAGATGGTGTACTGTTTACTATAGATCCCATGTTCTGTGATATAGTGTACGGTTTACTATAGATCCCCTGTTCTGTGAGATGGTGTACTGTTTACTATAGATCCCCTGTTCTGTGATATAGTGTACGGTTTACTATAGATCCCCTGTTCTGTGAGATGGTGTACGGTTTACTATAGATCCCCTGTTCTGGGAGATTGTGTACGGTTTACTATAGATCCCCTGTTCTGTGAGATGGTGTACGGTTTACTATAGATCCCCTGTTCTGTGAGATGGTGTACGGTTTACTATAGATCCCCTGTTCTGTGAGATGGGGTACGGTTTACTATAGATCCCCTGTTCTGTGAGATGGTGTACTGTTTACTATAGATCCCCTGTTCTGTGAGATGGGGTACTGTTTACTATAGATCCCCTGTTCTGTGAGATGGTGTACGGTTTACTATAGATCCCCTGTTCTGTGAGATGGTGTACTGTTTACTATAGATCCCCTGTTCTGTGAGATGGTGTACGGTTTACTATAGATCCCCTGTTCTGTGATATAGTGTACAGTTTACTATAGATCCCCTGTTCTGGGAGATGGTGTACTGTTTACTATAGATCCCCTGTTCTGTGAGATGGTGTACGGTTTACTATAGATCCCCTGTTCTGTGAGATGGTGTACGGTTTACTATAGATCCCCTGTTCTGTGATATAGTGTACGGTTTACTATAGATCCCCTGTTCTGGGAGATGGTGTACTGTTTACTATAGATCCCCTGTTCTGTGATATGGTGTACTGTTTACTATAGATCCCCTGTTCTGTGATATAGTGTACGGTTTACTATAGATGCCCTGTTCTGTGAGATGGTGTACGGTATACTATAGATCCCCTGTTCTGTGAGGTGGTGTACGGTTTACTATAGATCCCCTGTTCTGTGAGATGGTGTACGGTTTACTATAGATCCCCTGTTCTGTGAGATGGTGTACGGTTTACTATAGATCCCCTGTTCTGTGAGATGGTACTGTTTACTATAGATCCCTGTTCTGGTAGAGATGGTACGGTTTACTATAGATCCTGTTCTGTGAGAGATAAAAATGGCTTACTAAGTAGATCCCCACCCCTGTGAGATGGTGTACGTTTACTATAGATCCCCTGTTCTGTGAGATGGTGTAATGGTTTCTACTATAGATCCCCTGTTCTGTAAGATGGTGTACTGTTTACTATAGACTTCCGTTCTGTAAGATGGTGTACGGTTTACTATAGATCCCCTGTTCTGTAAGATGGTGTACGGTTTACTATAGATCCCCTGTTCTGTAAGATGGTGTACGGTTTACTATAGATCTCCTGTTCTGTGAGATGGGGTACTGTTTACTATAGATCCCCTGTTCTGTGAGATGGTGTACGGTTTACTATAGATCCCCTGTTCTGTGAGATGGTGTACTGTTTACTATAGATCCCCTGTTCTGTGAGATGGTGTACTGTTTACTATAGATCCCCTGTTCTGTGATATGGTGTACGGTTTACTATAGATCCCCTGTTCTGTGATATAGTGTACGGTTTACTATAGATCCCCTGTTCTGGGAGATGGTGTACTGTTTACTATAGATCCCCTGTTCTGTGAGATGGTGTACGGTTTACTATTGATCCCCTGTTCTGTGAGATGGTGTACGGTTTACTATAGATCCCCTGTTCTGTGAGATGGTGTACTGTTTACTATAGATCCCCTGTTCTGTGAGATGGTGTACGGTTTACTATAGATCCCCTGTTCTGTGATATAGTGTACGTTTACTATAGATCCCCTGTTCTGTGAGATGGGGTACGGTTTACTATAGATCCCCTGTTCTGTGAGATGGTGTACGGTTTACTATAGATCCCCTGTTCTGTGAGATGGTGTACTGTTTACTATAGATCCCTGTTCTGTGATATAGTGTACGGTTTACTATAGATCCTGTTCTGTGATATGTAACGGTTTACTATAGATCCCTCTGTTCTGTGAGATGGGGTACGGTTTACTATAGATCCTTGTTCTGGAGATGGTGTACGGGTTTACTATAGATCCCCTGTTCTGTGAGATGGTGTACGGTTTACTATAGATCCCCTGTTCTGTGAGATGGTGTACCGTTTACTATAGATCCTTGTTCTGTGAGATGGTGTATGTTTACTATAGATCCCCTGTTCTGTGAGATGGTGTACTGTTTACTATAGATCCCCTTGTTCTGTGACTGTTTACTATAGATCCCCTGTTCTGTGATATAGTGTACGGTTTACTATAGATCCCCTGTTCTGTGATATAGTGTACGGTTTACTATAGATCCCCTGTTCTGGGAGATGGTGTACTGTTTACTATAGATCCCCTGTTCTGTGAGATGGTGTACGGTTTACTATTGATCCCCTGTTCTGTGAGATGGTGTACGGTTTACTATAGATCCCCTGTTCTGTGAGATGGTGTACGGTTTACTATAGATCCCCTGTTCTGTGATATAGTGTACGGTTTACTATAGATCCCCTGTTCTGTGAGATGGTGTACTGTTTACTATAGATCCCCTGTTCTGTGAGATAGTGTACGGTTTACTATAGATCCCCTGTTCTGTGAGATGGTGTACTGTTTACTATAGATCCCCTGTTCTGTGAGATGGTGTACTGTTTACTATAGATCCCCTGTTCTGTGATATAGTGTACAGTTTACTATAGATCCCCTGTTCTGTAAGATGTTGTACGGTTTACTATAGATCCCCTGTTCTGTAAGATGGTGTACTGTTTACTATAGATCCCCTGTTCTGTGAGATGGTGTACGGTTTACTATAGATCCCCTGTTCTGGGAGATGGGGTACTGTTTACTATAGATCTCCTGTTCTGTGAGATGGTGTACTGTTTACTATAGATCCCCTGTTCTGTGATATGGTGTACGGTTTACTATAGATCTCCTGTTCTGTGATATGGTGTACGGTTTACTATAGATCCCCTGTTCTGTGAGATGGTGTACTGTTTACTATAGATCCCCTGTTCTGTGAGATGGTGTACAGTTTACTATAGATCCCCTGTTCTGTAAGATGGTGTACAGTTTACTATAGATCCCCTGTTCTGTGAGATGGTGTACTGTTTACTATAGATCCCCTGTTCTGTGAGATGGTGTACGGTTTACTATAGATCCCCTGTTCTGTGATATAGTGTACTGTTTACTATAGATCCCCTGTTCTGTGAGATGGTGTATAGTTTACTATAGATCCCCTGTTCTGTGAGATGGGGTACGGTTTACTATAGATCCCCTGTTCTGTAAGATGGTGTACGGTTTACTATAGATCCCCTGTTCTGTAAGATGGTGTACGGTTTACTATAGATCTCCTGTTCTGTGAGATGGGGTACTGTTTACTATAGATCCCGTGTTCTGTGATATGGTGTACTGTTTACTATAGATCCCCTGTTCTGTGAGATGGTGTACTGTTTACTATAGATCCCCTGTTCTGTGTGATGGTGTACGGTTTACTATAGATCCCCTGTTCTGTGAGATGGTGTACTGTTTACTATAGATCCCCTGTTCTGTGAGATGGTGTACGGTTTACTATAGATCCCCTGTTCTGTGATATGGTGTACTGTTTACTATAGATCCCCTGTTCTGTGAGATGGTGTACTGTTTACTATAGATCCCCTGTTCTGTGATATAGTGTACTGTTTACTATAGATCCCCTGTTCTGTGAGATGGTGTACTGTGTACTATAGATCCCCTGTTCTGTGAGATGGTGTACTGTGTACTATAGATCCCCTGTTCTGTGAGATGGTGTACTGTTTACTATAGATCCCCTGTTCTGTGAGATGGTGTACAGTTTACTATAGATCCCCTGTTCTGTAAGATGGTGTACGGTTTACTATAGATCCCCTGTTCTGTGAGATGGTGTACGGTTTACTATAGATCTCCTGTTCTGGGAGATGGGGTACTGTTTACTATAGATCTCCTGTTCTGTGAGATGGTGTACGGTTTACTATAGATCCCCTGTTCTATGAGATGGGGTACTGTTTACTATAGATCCCCTGTTCTGTGAGATGGGGTACTGTTTACTATAGATCCCCTGTTCTGTGAGATGGTGTACTGTTTACTATAGATCCCCTGTTCTGTAAGATGGTGTACGGTTTACTATAGATCCCCTGTTCTGTGAGATGGTGTACGGTTTACTATAGATCCCCTGTTCTGTGAGATGGGGTACTGTTTACTATAGATCCCCTGTTCTGTGATATGGGGTACTGTTTACTATAGATCCCCTGTTCTGTGAGATGGTGTTTACTATAGATACTGTTTACTATAGATCCCCTGTTCTGTGATATGATGGTGTACTGTTTACTATAGATCCCCTGTTCTGTGAGATGGGGTACTGTTTACTATTTACTATAGATCCCCTGTTCTGTGATATTTACTATAGATCCCCTGTTCTGTGACGGTTTACTATAGATCCCCTGTTCTGTGATGGTGTACTGTTTACTATAGATCCCCTGTTCTGTGAGATGGTGTACGGTTTACTATAGATCCCCTGTTCTGTGAGATGGTGTACGGTTTACTATAGATCCCCTGTTCTGTGATATGGTGTACGGTTTACTATAGATCCCCTGTTCTGTGAGATGGTGTACGGTTTACTATAGATCCCCTGTTCTGTGAGATGGTGTACTGTTTACTATAGATCCCCTGTTCTGTGAGATGGTGTACTGTTTACTATAGATCCCCTGTTCTGTGAGATGGTGTACGGTTTACTATAGATCCCCTGTTCTGTGAGATGGTGTACGGTTTACTATAGATCCCCTGTTCTGTGATATGGTGTACTGTTTACTATAGATCCCCTGTTCTGTGAGATGGTGTACTGTTTACTATAGATCCCCTGTTCTGTGAGATGGTGTACGTTTACTATAGATCCCCTGTTCTGTGAGATGGGGTACTGTTTACTATAGATCCCCTGTTCTGTGAGATGGTGTACTGTTTACTATAGATCCCGTTCTGTGAGATGGTGTACTGTTTACTATAGATCCCCTGTTCTGTGAGATGGTGTACTGTTTACTATAGATCCCCTGTTCTGTGAGATGGTGTACTGTTTACTATAGATCCCCTGTTCTGTGAGATGGTGTACTGTTTACTATAGATCCCCTGTTCTGTGAGATGGTGTACGGTTTACTATAGATCTCCTGTTCTGTGAGATGGTGTACGGTTTACTATAGATCTCCTGTTCTGTGAGATGGTGTACTGTTTACTATAGATCCCCTGTTCTGTGAGATGGTGTACTGTTTACTATAGATCCCCTGTTCTGTGAGATGGTGTACGGTTTACTATAGATCCCCTGTTCTGTGAGATGGTGTACGGTTTACTATAGATCCCCTGTTCTGTGAGATGGTGTACTGTTTACTATAGATCCTCTGTTCTGTGATATAGTGTACGGTTTACTATAGATCCCCTGTTCTGTGAGATGGTGTACGGTGTACTATAGATCCCCTGTTCTGTAAGATGGTGTACGGTTTACTATAGATCTCCTGTTCTGTGAGATGGGGTACTGTTTACTATAGATCCCCTGTTCTGTAAGATGGTGTACTGTTTACTATAGATCCCCTGTTCTGTAAGATGGTGTACGGTTTACTATAGATCCCCTGTTCTGTAAGATGGTGTACGGTTTACTATAGATCCCCTGTTCTGTAAGATGGTGTACGGTTTACTATAGATCTCCTGTTCTGTGAGATGGGGTACTGTTTACTATAGATCCCCTGTTCTGTGAGATGGTGTACGGTTTACTATAGATCCCCTGTTCTGTGAGATGGTGTACTGTTTACTATAGATCCCCTGTTCTGTGAGATGGTGTACGGTTTACTATAGATCTCCTGTTCTGTGAGATGGGGTACTGTTTACTATAGATCTCCTGTTCTGTGAGATGGGGTACTGTTTACTATAGATCCCCTGTTCTGTAAGATGGTGTACGGTTTACTATAGATCCCCTGTTCTGTGAGATGGTGTACGGTTTACTATAGATCCCCTGTTCTGTGATATGGTGTACTGTGTACTATAGATCCCCTGTTCTGTAAGATGGGGTAATGTAGCAGGGACATCATCAGCCAATTTTTCTTGTAATTGTCTGATTTATTGTTAAATTTCCCCCTTAGTAATATAATAATGGAATAAGTTTGGCGCTCCACAAATGTCAATAATAATGTTTAATATAGATCCCCTCTTCTGTACTTACGGGATAATGAATTCCTGGATATTGCTGACAATCTGTTTTCCAACCATTATTATGAAGAGCTGTTGAGCAAGTTCAATAAGACATCCGCCTGGACCACACTGCAGGAGAGATAAATGGTGGAGAATAAGGAATTACACAAACATAAACCCAAATAATGGGAACATTAATTATCCTCCAAGTTAGAAGAATGTTATCCATTAAATATGAAGCACCACTGTATCACCTTCAGCTGCCTAATCGACCGGCAAAACCACAACACAAATAGGTAGGATTTGTGTTAATTCTCCTTACTGCTAACTAACATGGGCAGACACAAACTCTCAAACTCTCAAGTAAACACCAAGAAATATGGCAAAGGCTGCAACACTTCTATAGAAAGTTACTGACGGATTGGTGACAGTCTGTGGGTTATAATGTAGCTCGGATCCCACACTCGGCTCTCGTTTGCATTTACCAGTCTCCTCCATTTCAGTTTAGCTGCTGATTGAATTGTTTTGTAGCCTATTGTTCTCATGCAGGGCCTGATATCAATATAATTAGGGCAGGAAAATTCGACAGGCATCGGCTACACCAAAGGAACAGACTGTTATATCTGTTATAGAATTGGCCATAGAGATGAAACTGTTCGATTAATTTGTTGCAATCTGTTCATATTCAGATTGTTGGTAGATGGTTGTCAGTTAGAATGTGTACCTTCCTAATGTCCCTTTAAATACTTAAATGCTGGATATACTCGCGCTGCTTAGTGTTCGTGTCAGTTGCCCTAATATACTGTAGCTGAATGGAATGTTGCAGCTCAGGTAGCCATTGGTACTCACATCCTCATTTCTCATGCCCAGGAGTTTGCCATACTGGCCAGGGTAGCCCACAAACCTGTCAGAGGGAGAGATAGATTCAGCATGTGCAGCGTGGAAGGTAATGATAGAAATTCTTCAACAAGTCAAAGTACAATTGGATAAGTACTTTTGAAATTTTGCAAAGGAGGAGGAGATTTATTGGCGACATCAGGAAATATATATTTTTCATAAAGAGTTGTAGAAACATTGCACTGCCTTCCAGCATACATGGTAGTGACTGAGCTGCAAACACAGCAAGGATAATGTGAGCTCCTAGATAGGGAACTAACATAATGAAGGAACAAATGGATTCAGTTGACATCAAAATCTGTGTTAAAATGGACTGAGACACGGATTTCTCAGTCATTGTCTTAACTGAAGAAATCACCTCTACATAATCCGCTTTATATCTCAGATCATTAACGGTAACACCAGTATCTCACACATCATGTGACTCCTATTATTTCCTAAAGCATCATCCCATCGTCGTTCTTTACAGGAAAATAAGTGAGTTGGAAAAAGTTTACCGGTTGTTTAATATCTAACTGTGTATTAAATCCTAGAAGACACTTTTTTTCTTTTGGCTTAATCAATGTAATAAAGTGCCCTTGTATTCCTGGTTCCATATCATATATTATTATAAAAGGGATAAAATGTAAAGGGTTCTTTTAACAAATAATAAGGAGGAATGCAGGGCCACTTTATTATTCTGATAAAGACCAGAACTAGCATACTGGATCCATTCAAGATGTGGGATTCCTATTACCAAAGACCCGACACCTGCTGGCCGCCGAAAAGGCAGATTGTTTCTTATACTACAAAGGGCATCAGGGATCAGGGCCGGAGCTTGGAACTCGTGGTCTGCATCTCCGACTGGTGCAGACCACAGTTATCGCTCCCTTGAGGTTCTGGCATTCCCTAATGTGTCAGAGTGCAGCCACTGGAATTCCCGACTGGTGCAGATCACATGCTCCTCAACTACACCACAAAAGACTTTACCTCCCACTAAACCACCAGGAAGTCTTAACCCCTGCTGGACCACCAGTTATCGGGTGGGAGCGGGGGACAAACACACTGCACTCACACATTACACACCGCAAGTACTCACCACTTACACATTACACACCGCAAGCACTCACCACTCACACATTACACACCGCAAGCACTCACCACTCACACATTACACACCGCAAGCACTCACCACTCACACATTACACACCGTAAGCACTCACCACTTACACATTACACACCGCAAGCACTCACCACTTACACATTACACACCGCAAGCACTCACCACTAAAACATTACACACCGCAAGCACTCACCACTTACACATTACACACCGCAAGCACTCACCACTTACACATTACACACCGCAACCCATTCCCCACCACTCTACACATTACACACGCAACTACTCACCACTTCTCCTATACATTACACACCCAACTACTCACCACTTCTTATACATTACACAATCAAGAACTGATCCTCACCACTTACACACATTACACACAATCAGCACTCACCACTTACACACATTACACAATCAAGTAAGCACCTCACCACTCACACATTACACAATCACAGCACTCACCACTCACACATTACAAGCACACACAATCGCAAGCACCTCACCACACACTTACACATTACACAATCAAGCAAGCACTCACCACTTACACATTACACAATCAAGCAAGTGCTAATCTCCTCACCACCACTAAACATTACACAATCACAAAGCACTCCTCACCACTTCACACATTACACACCGCAAGCACTCTCACCACTTACACATTACAATAATCAAGTAAATTACCACCACTTATACATTACACAATCAAGAACTACTCACCACTTACACATTACACACCGTAAGCACTCACCACTTACACATTACACACCGCAAGCACTCACCACTCACACATTACACACCGCAAGCACTCACCACTCACACATTACACACCGCAAGCACTCACCACTTACACACCGCAAGCACTCACCACTTACACATTACACACCGCAACTACTCACCACTTATACATTACACACCGCAACTACTCACCACTTACACATTACACACCGCAAGCACTCACCACTTACACATTACACACCGCAAACACTCACCACTCACACATTACACACCGCAAACACTCACCACTTACACATTACACACCGCAAGTACTCACCACTTACACATTACACACCGCCAGTACTCATCACTTACACATTACACATTGCCTGTGCATACCACATACAAAATACACACTTTACATATAGCCAGCAAACATCACACACAGCCAGCACATACCACACACACATTACATGCAGTCTGCACGTTACACAATCCTCACAAGTACAACAAACTGCCAGCACACACCACACACATTACACACTGCCTACACACACATATTACATGCAGTCATTACACACTATGGGGAAGACACAGATGGTGTGACTCTCAGACTAATTCACAAAACTCAGAATTTTCACAAATTGAATCCGAGGGAAAAAAAAGTTGTGAGTAACTGGTTTGGAGAATGTTTCCAGATCAGTTCTTTTTAATCTCAGTTTTTCCTTTGTGAAAATGTGGCGTTAAGTGAATAGCCTTGTCTGTGTGTAGGGTTCTAGGCAGGGGCCATAATCTGGAATTACATTGTGTGGCAGGACAAGTAGATCAGGATTCCTTTATAGTCACAAATAGATTGTTAAACCATTTCCACACCCTGGCCCTGCCATTAATTAATATATTAAATTGCCCCTTTGTTCCTGGCCATTGCATCCATTGAATAGATTGGACTGCATGCCAACTTTGATACAAGCTCAATGATAGAGGTACAGGCCATTCTGTAACACCCAGCCATAGAGATGCAAATTCCTCCCACACTGAGTTCTAGAGGTTAAATGCTCGGCCCAGCTCACCTGCCTTTGAAGAACGCCACATAGAACGGGGACGAGTAGAAATTCACAAACTGGAAGATGAAAACCTTAAAGGTAAAAGCGTCTTCATGGAGGGACTGCGTGCGATGCATTTCTGGGAACACAAAGATATATTCTTGATCTCGTTATAAGATACTGTGTATAATGCATTACTGGGAACGCAAAGATAAATTCCTGATCTCGCTATAAGATACTGCGTATAATGCATTACTGGGAAGACAAAGATAAATTCTTGATCTCGCTATAAGAAACTGCGTATAATGCATTCATGGGAACGCAAAGATAAATTCTTGATCTCGCTATAAGATACTGCGTATAATGCATTACTGGGAACGCAAAGATAAATTCTTGATCTCGCTATAAGATACTGCGTATAATGCATTACTGGGAACGCACAGATAAATTCTTGATCTCGCTATAAGATACTGCGTATAATGCATTACAGGGAACGCAAAAAATATTTCTTGATCTCGCTACAAGATACTGCGTTAAAACGCATTACTGGGAACGCAAAGATAAATTCTTGATCTCACTATAAGAAACTGCGTATAGTGCATTACTGGAAACACGGTGAACCCTTTGTTTCACACACTGTGTGTCTGTTCAGCTATCTTACACACTGTTGCATTGCCTGTGTAGGCTTCTACTCAGACCATTTGTGTATATTTTTTCTTTCTTCAAAAAAAGCTTTAAAAAAAAAAAAAATGAAATGTACAATCTGCAAAGCATCTCCAGTGACCCTTTAATCTCTGTATTAGAAACCGTGTGTCATGCATTTCTAGGGACACAGAAAGAACCCATTAATCTCTGTATATAGCACTGTGTGCTTTGATTCAGGAATTATTAAGGAGCTGTTTTTTTTAGAAATAAAGGCATTCTTTATTATCATTTTAATTCATATCAGGCTTGTATATTCATACTATGACCTTATTATGGTAGAGTTAATTGTAAATAAAAGTTCAGTCTGTCATAAAGAAGCTTGTCGCTTGGACTACCACAGCTGCAGTGGTGGCCAATATCAGGGTAACATCCTGAAGATTGCAAGCTGTGAGCCCAGCTATCAAGACATACCCTATTGAGTTTCCTCTTCATGTTGTACGTCTAGCTTTTTATTATTAGCTTCTGTTATTATTCCCTTTAGTCAATGTGTCCTGCGCTGTGGAATAGGTTGGTGCCATGAATAATTGGTAATCTCATGGAATCTTCCTGCACTGCTGGCAAATAGACACCGTGTGTGAAATACAACACTAACCTGTGATATATCTTTCATTTTCACACCATGATCAGACAGCCACAGCTAACTAGTGGAAATGTGTGCTTATACAGAGGTGAGAGAGATTTTAAATATCTGCTACTTTCATTTCACTTACAAGGCGGATAATAGTAAATGTTAAAGTTCTCCTTGTAAAATGTATCGTTAATTGACCCACGTATTGTGGACCTAGCTGATTGCACGGCGCTGACGTGCGCAGGCAGTTATTCCCAAACTGTGAATTGCAGGGCATTTAAATAGAAATAGCAACATTCATGCAAAATGATTTTTGATTTTTAAAACTTGCCAACTCTGCTTTAGCCACAGCTGGGTTATTTTAAGACAATAGTTTGGCTTTCAATTCACAACTCAGTGTTTAGTGAATAAACGCCCTCAGAGGTAAAGACATAAAATAACGTAGAGCTGGAGTGTACATTCTCTGAGTTATCTCATTTTAATGCATCTCTCCAGGAGAGGCACAAAGTGGATTATTTACCAATGGAGCCTGTGCTCTTCCATTTGGAGAAGTCATTATGAATGGCTGCCATGGTTTAAAATATAACTGGAAGGACTGGGAAGTAACATTGAAATTAAATCTTTTTTTTGTCCAGACATTAAAAAATATTATATTGCCAGACGTCGTAGCCAATCGGTTGCCAGGAAAATATAGAACCCGTTGCATTATTTGTCACGGCTCCTGACTAGTCTGTGAACCATTGTGGGAAACATATTGACCCTATTTCTCATTCTAGAGTACTTTCTGACACAGCTCCTTAGTCCGACTTTGAAGCACTTTGCTGATTTTATTACTATTTGTTGTTTTATTTATGTTTTATTTTTCAAATAAATCACTGTAAGGGTCCTTCAAACTTCCCAACTGACTGCTTACAAAGGAACGGCTGTGCCACCTTAATAGGCACAATTGTTAATATACCTAGAGCCAGGTACCTTGGGCTCCAGCAAAGCTACCTGGGAGTTAACTGTATAACACTAGGAGTATTATCTCCTATTTCTCCACTTTTGCCTTTTTGAGAGTATACATCACAGAATCTGGAAGGGGGATTGTGTCACCGAAGTACACTACTACGAGCACGACCTAAGCCTGTCATATTGGGCTCAGAAGGGTTCTAAAAGATCTAAAGTTACCTGCACATTAGAGATTTTCCTCTTTTTTTAGGACACCAAACAATATTTGCTGTCCACCAATTAGGGGTAGGTGTTTTAATGTATATACACACCATTTGATGTGCTCCACTCTATAGATTGGCGGTTGCTTGCTCCTTATAGTCACACTGTCATATCCTGACTTCTAGACTCCTTGACCTATTCCTCAATTTGTATTTCTATATCTCATTTAACAATATTAGTTTTTCAGGACTATAAGTTCCCTGCTATTAAGTGTTTTCACCGTCGATATACCTCCTTTGCAGCCGCCCGACCCATTTCTGTCCGCAAGCATGCTGACGTCTTCTTGCTTCTCATCCTATCAAATGCTTTCTCTGAGAATTATTTATTGAATAACCGAGTCTGACACAGTTATTCTAGTTAAAGCAACTCTAGAGGCTGTCAGGAAGACAACTACTAAAGCTGTGTTTAACTCTGCAAAGAAGACATCGACGATGCTACAAAATGCTGTTTTCAATTGCAGAGCTAGAAGGAAAGGATGCACCACTTCATTAAGATTAAAGGACGACTAGTCTATAGTGCCAGGAAAACATACTCGTTTTCCTGGCACTATGTTGCCTTGAGGGTGCCCCCACCCTCAGGGTCCCACTCCCGTGGCGCTGAAGGGGGAGTAAGGGGTTAATCCCTTACCTTTTTTCCACCTCCCTCGGCGCTGGGGACTCTTCTCCCTCTTCTTCCGTCATCGGCTGAATGCACGCGCATGCGCGTGCATTCAGCCAGTCTCATAGGAAAGCATTCTCAATGCTTTCCTATGGACGATGGGGTCTTCTCACTGTAAAAAATCACAGTGAGAAGCGCGGAAGCACCTCTAACGGCTGTCAATGAGACAGCCAATAGAGGCTGGGTTAACCCTAATGTTTACATGAATGTTGCTATTTCTATTTAAATTCTCTGAAACTGCTATGTTTACAGCAAAAAGGGTTAAACCAAGCTGGACCTGACACCCAGACCACTTCATTAAGCTGAAGTGGTCTGGGTGCCTATAGTGGTCCTTTAAGTGGTCTAGTTGCCTAAAATGAGCCAATGACTGATACATCCACATAAATCTTCCTGATACCTCTTATACACCAAGCGAATGGCAATGTGATGCAGGGCAATGCATTCCATGCCTCTGACACTCACAATAGAATGCGTGGGGTAAATGATACAAAGTAACAAAAATGCAACATTTTACAAGGAAAGTACTTACCCCAACGCGTGAGCTTTTCCGCTAATGACGTGTACACCTGACTCATCAAGAGGATAAGCACCAGGTTTACCATTGTACTGCTGATATTCGCTATATTGCCAGCCTGAAACCACATAACAAATCGAGAATAACCAGATTACCAGAAACATCTCAAAATGCCAAAATTCGCTCACTTCCTGTAAAATTTGTCATATCAACGTGATGAGAATGGTGTTTGCGGAATCATACCTGTATCATCAGGATACATATTAAGGTGTGATCATACCTGTATCATCAGGATACATATTAACGTGTGATAATACCTGTATCATGAGGATTCATATTAAGGTGTGATCATACCTGTATCATGAGGATACATATTAAGGTGTGATCATACCTGTATCATGAGGATACATATTAAGGTGTGATCATACCTGTATCATGAGGATACATATTAAGGTGTGATCATACCTGGATCATGAGGATACATATTAAGGTGTGATCATACCTGTATCATGAGGATACATATTAAGGTGTGATCATACCTGTATCATGAGGATACATATTAAGGTGTGATCATACCTGGATCATGAGGATTCATATTAAGGTGTGATCATACCTGTATCATAAGGATACATATTAAGGTGTGATCATACCTGTATCATGAGGATACATATTAAGGTGTGATCATACCTGTATCATGAGGATACATATTAAGGTGTGATCATACCTGTATCATACTGAAGCTGAGTTTGATGTGATCATACCTGTATCATGACCATACTTGTTATCATACGGATGCTGGTGGTGTGATTATACCTATATAATGCGAATCGTACTACCAATGCTAAGGGTGGACTTTGGGAGATAAAACTCTGCATCTGTAATATGAACATTTGTTGGAGGGGACAGGGGTATATTAGTGATTTTTAATATTACTTAAAGCAGCCATTTATTATTAAAAATAAATGTTTCTGTCTTTGCTTTTAATGAGTTCCTGAAGAGCATCAGTAGCACTCTGTTAATGGGCAGAAAGGAGTGTACATAATATAGACAGGTGACTATATGGCACACCACCTCTGTTAGTGTAGAGATCAGCAACTTTTCGTATTTGTGTCATGAGAACCGTGTTTCTGGAGTGATCGTAACTGTGTCATGAAAACCCTATTTGTGGAGAGATCGTACCTCTGTCATGAGAACTGTATTTGTGAAGAGATTGTACCTGTGTCACGAGAACCGTATTTCTGGAGAGATTGTAACTGTGTCATGAAAACCCTATTTGTGTAGAGATTGTACCTCTGTCATGAGAAATGTTAAGGCTTGGCCTGCAGTTGTGGGAGGGGCATGGTACCTATTTAAACCCCCCTACTCACCTTCCCAGGTCCCGTACGTTTTTCAGCGACTCGCATGTCGCCATTTCCGGCCGTCATTCCTCCCCCTTACCTGGTCCTCGTGGCTCAGCTGCTCGTTTGTCCGCAGTCCTCCTGAGGCTCGGCTCCCTCTCTTGCTGTCCGGTGCGATTCTAGTTGGCCTCCGCGGGCGTCCTGCTTCCTGTGGTTCTTGTGGGCAGGTAGTGGTGGTCTGCGGGTGTGCATGTATTGGTCGCTTTGGAAATTGTGTCGCGCCGCCCCCGTCGGCCATGACTCTGGGGGGAAGGTTCGGCTCTGCTGCGGCGATGCTCGCCTCCGCGGTCACAACTGATAGCTAATGTCTGATGGTGTAAGAGGGGGGTTATTAATTAGGGGCTGTTTTCCCAAAGCATACTGCTCAGGTACTGTATGCATACATTTGTATTTCTTCTGCCATTGATTTTCACAAAGGTGAATCTCGGCAGACCCATTTCCTGCTTGGCCACGGTTCCTTGGTTACACCATGCCCTGGAACACCTCCCAGGAACTTTTGGCTGGATATTCATTAATTGTTTTATCTTGGTGCCTAGTACCTCCAGATGTGCAGTTCCAGTCTGCTTCTAAATGGCAACTCTCAAATGCTGTTTAAGTGCTACTTTGTTTTCACTACAGTTCACGGTTTAGTAATTAATCCCCTCGGTGTCTCCACTGCCTTTTCCTTTTGACACTGTGCGAGTACACTGTAATCTGGCCCTGTAGTTATTGTTGATTATATAATGCCAGCTAATTCTGGTGTACCTCTCTCTCCACCCTCTCCCCCCCCCTCCACCCCCATATGCGATTAATTAATAAAAATAAATAAGTAAATAAAAAAAATTAGAGGGTTTATCTCGTTCAAGTTTCGTTCCCTACCCTTCATTACGCTGTCTTAAGCTACGTGGTTGCTGCTAACAAGCGGTTTTGGTCCGGTCACAGAGTCTGTCCTGCGTTTAGCTTTCGGGCTTTGTTTTTGTTTTTGCTTGGATGGGCCATGTCTGCCCGACATAACCATGTTATTTTCCAGAAGGAGCGCTATGTTTTTGTTACCGGGAACGTGCTCTGGCCCTTACGAGACCTGTGAGCTATATGCGCGCATGCACTTTCTGTTCCTATTTCCCTTGTGTACCCCTACGGCCTGACCACTCTGCTCTCCAGTTACGGTCAGCCCCTACGATTCTCCCTCATACCCCACACAGTCGCACTGGATCTCACGAGCCCCCGTGGTTTTACACCAACACGGATTTTATTACCTATTGCCGGGCTTGCTCCTTTCAAACTGACCGCCTGGGCTCCGACAGGCTCACTCTGCCCTCCATTTACGGTCGACCCTACGATTCTTCCTCGTACCCCGTACCCTCTTTCTTTTCACTCACTGTGCATCCCCTATCTCACTCGTTACCCTCCGCTCTTAGTTAGCTGTTGCTGGCTGTCAGGGTCCTAGCTGTCCACTAGTTGGTAATTCCCCCTCGGCTTCTTTGCCTTAGGTTAGTGGTCCCGCGAGGCCAACACCCATCCTCATACTCGGAGGTACTACACCCCTCAGGCCAAATCATAGCTAGTCGCCTAGCATTGTGGCATAGGGAGGGCCTCACCTGTCACTCCCATTCTATCTTATGTTTAACTGTCACTGAGAGGCCAACACCCAGCCACAACGTTTGGTGGCCACATTATCCCCTCGCGCCAATGCATAGATAGAGCCTCTCACGCCGCTTGGCATCTAGCAGGGCCTCACCTGTCACCAGACCTAGTTTTTAATTGTTTTGCCTTTTGGCTTAGCTAGTATGCCAGCACGCCCGCGCACGCTCTCACACTCGGTCTCGTGACCCCCCCTGGGGTTTACACCAACTCTGTTTTGTTACCTACTGCCGGGCTCGCTCCTTTCAGCCGTCCGCCTGGACACTGACATGCTTGCTCTGTTTTTGGTTATGGTCAGCTCTGCGGTGTTTCCTCGTTCACACTCACGTTCTTGATACACATACAGCAAATCTATCCTCTCACGCTACCTTCCCTCCCCTCTTAGTTAGCTGTGGCTGGCTGTCAGGGTCCTAGCTGTCCACTAGTTGGTAATTCCCCCTCGGCTTCTTCGCCTTAGGTTAGTGGTCCCGCGAGGCCAACACCCATCCTCATACTCTGAGGGCCCTCGGGCCAAATCATAGTTAGTCGCCTCGCATTGTGGCATAGGGAGGGCCTCACCTGTCACTCCCATTCTATCTTATGTTTAACTGTCAGCAAGAGGCCAACACCCCTCCACAATGTTCAGTGGCCGCTTGGCATCTAGCAGGGCCTCACCTGTCACCACACCTAGTTTTTAATTGCTTCGCCTTTTGGTATTAGCTAGTATTCCAGCACACATTCACATACCCACACACACACGCATTGGGTCGCTTATGCGCTGCCTATTCGTCTCTTTTTCTAGCAGGTCTCCGCTGCTAGGCGTTGGCGTGGTATCGTCCGCCTGGGCTCTCTGGCTTGGTCTGGTACCCTTCGCGCTGTGGTGTTTTGGCTACTCCTACCTTTTTTCCTTGCTTTGCTACGGTTCTCGCGAGTCCCTTTCCTCCCCCCCACCCGGCAGCCTTTCGGACAGCTGAGCTCTCAGTCCGCACTCCACAGGTATCGCTGTTGCTGGTGGGGGCCCCCGAGTTTCACTCTTCTCCGTTTCGCCTCCTGTTTGGGGTAACTGGCATCTGCCTTTTTGGCTGGTTTCCGATCCAGGCTTCCAGCACCTTTCGGGGGCTCCTTCTTCGCGTGTACCGTTACTGTTCCTGTTGCTATGTTGTCTGCATTTTGGTTTTGCTTTTTTTTTGTTGCCACTTTTAACTTGCATCATCTCTACCTATCCGGTTCACAACTACACATGTTGTACAGGTTTGCCATTCATACGCAGTTTCATATCCTCATCCCAGACTATTGGCATACTCAAGGCGTTTTAGGTTCCAGGGAATTTCAAATTTACAGATTTCACATCAACATCCAAGTATCTCATTCACTATCAGAATTATTAAATGCCTGTCACTACGAACCGGGCGTCAACTTTCAATGCAGGGAAATAACTGCTTGATCCAAGGAAATCTGACTGCCATTTTAGGGTCAAGAAGGAATTTTTTCCCAGCTTGATGCAAATTGGCAGCGCTTCAAACTGGGTTTTTTCACCTTCTTTTGGATCAACCGTTTTTGTACTTGGTGGGAACTAGTCACTTAAACTATGTAATCTAGTTGTTGAGCCACTATTCCTGCTTCTTGGGTCTCACATACTTTCACACAGCCACCACGTCCTTCTTGCAGCAGTTTCTTAGGAAGTCTCACCTATTCATGCAGTCTACTGATTACCTTCTCTACCCCACATTTAGTCTACCCTAGGGGGGCCAACACGTTCAATATACCTTACTTCCCCTTGCACAATTAAGAGTGCCGGTTAAAGTACTGGGTAACAATTTCCCTCACTCGGCATTTACCATACCGCTAGGCAATTAGGTCTTGTTGATTGTTTTTCAGGTACCCAATTTTTGCCCTCTTTTATTACAGGCCTACCACGACGTCGGTTCCGGCACACCTCAACCGACTTGTTTCCCTTTTACTGCCTATACGGCCTTATTTGCCCCTCACACAACCATATTTCTGGAGAGATCGTAACTGTGTCATTAAAACCGTATTTGTGGAGAGACTGTACCTGCGTCATGAGAACCGTATTTCTGGAGAGATCGTAACTGTGTCATGAGAACCGTATTTCTGGAGAGATCGTAACTGTGTCATGAAAACCCTATTTGTGGAGAGATCGTACCTGCGTCATGAGAACCATATTTGTGGAGAGATCCTACCTGTGTCATGAGAACTGTATTTGTGGAGAGATTGTACCTGTGTCATGAGAACCGTATTTCTGGAGAGATCGTAACTGTTTCATGAAAACCGTATTTGTGGAGAGACCGTACCTGTGTCATGAGAACCGTATTTCTGGAGAGATCATACCTGCGTCATGAGAACCGTATTTCTGGAGAGATCGTAACTGTTTCATGAAAACCGTATTTCTGGAGAGACCGTACCTGTGTCATGAGAACCGTATTTCTGGAGAGATCATACCTGCGTCATGAGAACCGTATTTCTGGAGAGATTGTAACTGTTTCATGAAAACCGTATTTGTGGAGAGACCGTACCTGTGTCATGAGAACAGTATTTCTGGAGAGATCATACCTGCGTCATGAGAACCGTATTTCTGGAGAGATCGTAACTGTGTCATGAAAACCCTATTTGTGGAGAGACCGTAACTGTGTCATGAGAACTGTATTTCTGGAGAGATCGTACCTGTGTCATGAGGATACTGTTTCCGGTGTGATACATCATCATGCTCACAATACCACGATACATAATCACAGATACCAGGAAAATCATCACCACGCAGAGCTGGCAAGAGAGTAAAATGTGTAAACAGTAGGGGGCACCATACTCATCACAAGTAATCATATTCCCTTGCTAAATTGTGTATCCGCAAGAGTCAGTAACAGCATAATGGGCTGCAGTTTACATGTGTACAATGAGAGAAATTAATCAAAACTTTATTTGTACATATTCATTAAATTAAAAAAAAAAAAACCTAAGTCTCGGTTTAATTTCTTTTAAATGATTCATTTTTTTTGGAAAAGATTTAAAAAAAAAAAGTTTTCAAAATGTTAGAATGTTAAAGAAAAATAGTAAAATATTTTCCATATTATAAAATCATTCAAAAAAATAATCAAAAAATATTAAGTTGAGTTTCTAAGCAGGGTCTGCTGGACATAGTCATGCCTTTGGTTGGCTATGCCAGTGATGGCCAATTACTCCCTCTGTCGGTGTCCCCAATGCTAGCTTTCTCCTGCATAGAATACACGCTGTTTGAATCACTTCCATGTACTTACCATAATAACAATAACCATTGAGCCAGTCAGGATCCTGGACAGGCGGTCACGTTTCGGGAAGTATGGTTCCTTTACTCCTGTGACTGGATTTTGCTCCATTTGTGGAGCCATAGCTGCAAACTCAGGCCGAGGACGTTCCTAGGTAGAGACAATAAAGTGGGAATGTGCAGAAGAAATCAGACTTTAGCTCTGCATCATGTTTCCCATCCCTGTACTACTGCATACCTCCCAGACCAGGTGTCCCTGTTATAGACCCAAATCCATCTGTCCCTCTTTTTTATCCTAATGTCCTTCTTTTCTAGGAGCTACATATTGTTGGTGAGCCTGAGTGTATAACAGAGCTCCACAGTAATAATACTCCCAGTAACAGAGCTCCACGGCAATAATACTGCCAATAATGTGTCTGAGTGTATAACAGAGCTCCACAGCAATAATACTCCCAGTAATGTGTCTGAGTGTATAACAGAGCTCCACAGCAATAATACTCCCAGTAATGTGTCTGAGTGTATAACAGAGCTCCACAGCAATAATACTCCCAGTAATGTGTCTGAGTGTATAACAGAGCTCCACAGCAATAATACTCCCAGTAATGTGTCTGAGTGTATAACAGAGCTCCACAGCAATAATACTCCCAGTAATGTGTCTGAGTGTATAACAGAGCTCCACAGCAATAATACTCCCAGTAATGTGTCTGAGTGTATAACAGAGCTCCACAGCAATAATACTCCCAGTAATGTGTCTGAGTGTATAACAGAGCTCCACAGCAATAATACTCCCAGTAATGTGTCTGAGTGTATAACAGAGCTCCACAGCTATAATACTCCCAGTAATGTGTCTGAGTGTATAACAGAGCTCCACAGCAATAATACTCCCAGTAATGTGTGTATACTGCAATAATACTCCCAGTAATGTGTCTGAGTGTATAACAGAGCTCCACGGCAATAATACTCCCAGTAATGTGTCTGAGTGTATAATAGAGCTCCACAGCAGTAATACTCCCAGTAATGTGTCTGAGTGTATAACAGAACCCCACAGCAATAATACTCCCAGTAATGTGTCTGAGTGTATTACAGAGCTCCACAGCAATAATACTCCCAGTAATGTGTCTTTAAACTGCCAGAAATGAGTTTAGAAATCTGTCTGCGTAAATAAGATACATTGTTCTTGTTCTAAATTACATTTTCAAATTCATAAATGCTTATCACCTAAAATGTGTTGAATAGCCCTGCCCCTGGCCCCACCCACACCCTATCAAATTAAACTGTCCCTGTGTAGAAATGTCAGGAGGTAGAGTATTGGTCCATACCACTTGTGAAGCTAAAGGAAGTCACAGTCTCACTGGTGATGTACAGAGAATGTGCAACATTTTCTCTACTTCTATTGACACAGATTTCTCATTCTCTGTTTCCTTGTCTGTCACTGCAGAAACTGTGGCTAATGTCTATATAGCATGTGAGGTCCCAGAAGGCCCACACGCACTGATTTTGTGGACCATTAATTAAGCAGAAACTGAGTGATCTGGATATAGAGACCACAAGGAAAAAGTGTGTTGAACAGTTCCCCAGCACCATGGAAGTATGTGATTCTAATAACAACACCCTCTGTGTCCTTAAATATTACATTGCAGTTAGAAAATGTTAACCACAAGTTCAAAAAGCAGTAAAATATGAAGATCCCAACCTCTTCTTCCTGGAAGTCCATACAGTCCCAGTGATGAGCCAATGTGGCATTCTTCCTCTTCCAGTATTCCAGAAATGTTACTGCCCAGAAGGACATGAAGACGCTGAAGAAGACTGTCCCTGGGTGATCAAACAAATACCCCACCTGAGGAACAAGAAAGTAAAGTAAGAGATACACTTCTGAAAAACCATGTGACTTCACCGGGATCAACCCAGACAAATTGCTGCATACCTTGGCCATGGGACAGATTTCAGAGATGTGCCAATTGCTGCATGTGTCACAGAGCGGGCACATCAGGTAAGTATTTCCACTCTCACAGACCTCTTGCCTGAGGGGCACAAATGTCCAGATTAGTACTCACGCATTGATTAATTTGACGGACAGCTCTTGGCGTCCACTCACACTTACGCCACTGTGTTGCTTTTCATTGTCAGAAGGCCGGAGATAAAGACCACGGATCCAACAATGGCAGCGGGAAGGAGCCAGGTCGTGTAAAACCCTGCCCAAAAGGACAATATAAGGTGAGGTGAGTGGTCGCATGGAATGGTTGCTCTCTTTAAATAAGCTGACTTAAGGGTAAGTAAACCCACATTATTAAATTATAAACTGCATGGTTGGAGTAGCGGTCATGGTGTATGTGGATGGTCATCGCAACCTGTATAGCAGTCGGTGCCCTTGCCAACTGATTCTTTATGGCCTGTTATATGGAATGCACATTTTGGGGCAGCACTAGATAATGTAAATATTGCAGATTGCTGTCCTATGTTTAACCCCTTAAGGACACATGACGGAAATATTCCGTCATGATTCCATGTTATTCCAGAAGTTGTGTCCTTAAGGGGTTAATTGTAATGGAAACTCAAAGTTCAGAAACTAGCACTGCAGAAACCTGAGGGTAGCAGGATGAGAGGTGATAGTGTTGAACTATTTTTAAGAGTTTTTATGGTCTAAAAAAAAGTAAAAAACCAAAGCATTAGAAACTGTATTTATTATGTGTATAATTTGGGCTCCTTAATGATTAGTCCCTTCCATTCACCTCCCAAGATGTACAATAATAAAAAAAGGCTACAAATGATTAAATCTCTGTTTTTTAACAATATGAGATCTTGATTCCTACCTAACTATCAATGAATGGGTAGAGAAATTGTAAAGGATAACAAACTGTACCCAGTCAGTCTTCTGTTGGTGCGGTTTATTAGTGGTTAGGTTGTTTGGATTAGAAAGGGTAAAACATACCCAGCCATGCAAAGTATATTGCAACCTTCTCCCCAAAATATTCACGGATATGGTCCAGAGGCTGATATTTATACCATTGGGACCAGCGAGCCCAGTACTGGAAAAGGATCTGACGAGGATTAAGACTTCCAGAGGGCACGTTATATTCTGGCATTTCATAAGGCCCCTGAAAAGAAATCAATGTTAGAATTTCAGGAATAGAGCACAGAATGAAGCAGTGTAGCTCATAACCCCTCGGTTTAGGACCTAAAACTCTGTATCTGTTTTATGGAAAGGGTGGAAGTAAGCATAACATAGTTGTACAATGTGAAGTAAAAAAATAATTATGTGGGTTGTAACTAAAAAGAACAAGGGTTTGCTGGAGAAACCTATAAAGAACAGGGCTCTGATAAGTGGTACTATGAATTACAATGTTTGGGTGATTAGAGAGAACACGGCTCTGTGGGGGTGGAGCAATGTAGAGCATTGAACAAAGCTCTGGGGTGGAGCTATAAAAAACATGGAACGTGCAAGCATAAACAACAACTTTATTAGATACGGCTATGAAACCATCTCTGCAAAGTAGAGCGGTGAAGAACCAAGTTTGGTAGGTGGAGTTAAAGAAAACATGGCTCTGTGGGGGCGGGGCTATGTAGAGCAATGGTTTGGTGAGTGAGCCTGAGAAAACAAAGCTCTGGGGTGGAGATATAAAGAACATGGAACTTGTAAGCATAAACAACAGCTTTTTTAGGTATTGGTATCAAACCGTACCTGCAAAGTAGTGCTATAAAGAACCAGGTTTAATAGGTGGAGTTAGATTGAACCTGGTTCTGTGGGGGTGGGGCTATGTAGAACAATGGTTTGTTGGGTTGAGCTAGTTATAAAAAGGCTGTGTATCCATGAGGTGTACAAAGTAGTAATGTCAGTGCTGATGTTATACATTGAAGTAATATTTTTGAAGAAGACCATTCCCTGGAACTGTTAATATATGGCTATTCCTGAATTATAACAATATGGAATTGTCTTGGCTCTCTTCCAATCCAGGTCTGTGGTATCCCCTATGGGACTGGTGTGGAATGGACATGGTTGAGCCTTGCCTTGTGTGACAGCCCTTACCTCATGCAGTGGGAATGCCGATGTGTATATTCCGTCCTTTAGCATTCGCTCAATGCCAATCTCTGCGTGCTTTCTCTTACCATACGCTGTGCAGGACAGGATCTCATAAACCTGAAAGAGGGTGAGGAATGCTTGGTGTGTTTCTCCAAAGAATACCAAGAGAAGTATTACCAGGATTTATTCAGAACAGCAAATTGCAATTAATTGAAACAGCATATTCTACTCAGTATTTGGACATGCACGTCCTTATCTGCGTCTGATTGGTGGGAGTCCCACTTCTGGCTAATAGCTGCTGTTTGTGACTGCCACGATAACTTCAGCTTCTTGCCTGATATAATGATATGCTGGGAGAGGAGCTGGGAGACAGAATAGCTTTTATTGGGAGAGAGTTAAATTACATTGGCCCCAGTCAGTCTGGCACATACAGGTATATACTGGAAATATTCTGAGATTAGATGTCAACTAGACTTTGCACTGCAAGAAGACATGCTCTTTTCTTTCAAATTTATTTATTTATAAAATATTTTACCAGGATGGATACATTGAGATTTCTTTCATTTTCAAGTGTCCTGGGTCCACAAAACATTGCATTGTTACAATAGGGTACAATATACAGACAAACAATATATATATTTATTTATTTAATACACATCAGGTAATAAATATATTCAACCACGATGGGAGCATTCTGTGCTGAGGTATATTGCCATAGATCTCTTAAAAGATTTTAGATTGAATGAAGATTAGACTGTGTCCCTGAGGTTATTCCATAATTGCGGTGCTCAGTAGGAAAAGGAGGATCGAGACCATTTATTTTTGTATTGCGGTATGCTAAATATTGTGCTAGTACTGGATCGGAGGTTATAGGAGGTGGGAACAGCTGGGGAGAGCATTCTACTCGGGTAGGGTGGGAGCTTCCCAGAAATGCATATGCACAAGGCTGGAAAGAGAAAGAGTGTGTCTGGATTACAGCGACAGCCAGTTTAGCTCTTTTAACATGTCACAGTGGTGGGTAAAGTAATTACATTCTGGTACAAAGCGGCAGAATGAATTATATAACGTATTCAGTTTATTAAGGTGTGTTTGCAGTGTGGGTGCATACACTACATCCCCATAATCCATGACCAGCATTAGCATTTGTTGCACTATCTGTTTCCTTACTGTAGGACTGAGGCAGGATTTGTTTCTGTACAGGGCACCTAGTTATGGGTAAAGTTTTGACGAGATTCTTTTCAATGTGAAGGCCAAGGGATAGATTGGAGTCTAGCAACATACCTAGATATTGAAAAGAGCAGACTACTGTCAGTGTGATATTTGAATTTGTTCCGATACACAATTGTTGATTTTGTAATTTACGTAATTTAGGTACAGTTCCAATGATCATTGTAACAGTTTTGTCAGTGTTTAGGAAGAGTTTGTTATCTGCTATCCACTTTTCTACCTCTGTGAATTGGCTTTGGAGCACAGCTTCAAGCTGCGGTAGCTTGGGTTTACTAGCGTAGATTACAGTGTCGTCTGCATACATGTGTAGAGTTGAGGATTTGCAGACGTTAGGCAGATCATTTATAAATAATGTGAATAGCAGGGGGCCAAGTATGGAGCCTTGGGGAACACCACACGTGACTGAAGAGGGAGGGAAGCGCTATCAGAAATGGCCACATATTCCAATCGGTCTGAAACATACGAATGAAACCAGGTTAGCGGACGATCACCAATACCTGAGTTTTTAAGTTTTTGCAAAAGAATGCCATGGTCTACTGTGTCAAAGGCCTCAGCAAAATCAAGGAAAATAGCTCCAGTTACGTCTCCTTGTTCCATGCCAAATTGGATGTCATTGCAAACTTTTAAGAGGGCAGTTGAAGTTGAGTGATTTGGATGAAAGCCTGATTGATCAGGGGTCAGATAGTTTGATCTTTGATAATATTCACACAGTTGCGTGTGGACACATTTTTAAAAGAGTTTTACAATACTGGGAGCAATGATATCGGGCAATAGTTAGAAACCAAAGTCTTGTCACCACTTTTATGGATAGGTGCAACTTTTGCAGTCTTCCAAAGTTTGGATATGTATCCTGACACCAGGGATTCATTGGTAAGGGTAGTGACTGGTTTAGCAATTGCCGGCGCACTGAGCTTCAGCAATATTGCTGGGATTTGATCTAGTCCACACTGAGCTTCAGCAACATTGCTGGGATTTGATCTAGTCCACACTGAGCTTCAGCAACATTGCTGGGATTTGATCTAGTCCACACTGAGCTTCAGCAACATTGCTGGGATTTGATCTAGTCCACACTGGTTTTTCATTTTTAAAGTATTAAGATGTTTATTAACGACACTAACAGGCGCAGGTCTAAAATGTAATTTCTCTATATGAGGATTTTAAAGATTTGGCAGGGCCTGATCTTTATTTGCGGTCTGAAAATGAGTGTAATTTGTTATCTTAGCAACCAGGGTGGTAGCACAGCCAACACAAGGCATTTGCTCCATCTAGGGGGTGTTGCAGTGTTTGGTTGTCCATTTTGACAGTGGAGGGTTGGGAGTGGATTGTGGGGGGTTTTATGCTATTAATGATTTACCAGACGTTTCTTGGGTTTGATAACTTATTATAATTTTCACTGAAATATCAGGCCTTTACCATTTTTGTTTGTTTTGTGCATGCATTTCGCCAATATCTGTAAGTACAGTGATCGTTCATGGAGCCAGTACGCTTCAACTTTGACCACAGTGAATCTCTAAACTGGTACATTTGAATGAGGTCAGCTCTAACCCAGGGCAGGTGTGTCCCTTTTAGTCGCACTTTACGCAGAGGGGCATGCAAATTCCAAACACGCAAGAGCTCGGACTGAAAAAATGCAATTGCAGAGTCTAGACCTGGTATTAGCCCTAATCTGTGCCATAGTATGTTCTTGAGATCATTTAAAAAGGATTCAGGATTAAATTTGTTGAAAGACCTGGTGATTCTAATCTTGGGAGGGGATTTAGTGGCCTTTATTTTGCGGAGAACGCTCGCCTCCAGGATTCTGTCAAGACAACTGGAGAGAATCTAATCGAGCAAGGTATGGTTCTGGCTTTTAATATTAATGCGAGTTGGGGAGGAAAATAATTGTGTTAGCTGCAAAGTCTTAAACAGCGAACATGATTTATTATTTTTAGGATTCAGCCAATCAATATTAACATCTCCAAAAACAGTTAAATTTTTTGGTTTTGAGCTACAAATAAAAGAAAGTTATGTAATGCAAGTGTGTGTGTGTGTGTATATGTATATATATATATACACACACGCACACACATATAAACACACTTACTCTGTAATTTATTCCATGCTTTACCATTTAAAAAGTACTTATTCCTTCTAAACATGTCAGTGTAAGTGCAGTAAGTTATCCATACTCACAATACGGCTGCGCTGAGTATTACTGAAGAAGGTTGTCTGACACTCGTTGCCCAGGAACCTATGAGAATGATGGAGTAAAATTTCCAATATTCAGTTCACAGATCTGCTACATGAATGGTGTTTTCAGTGCGATTAGTTTGTTAATGTTGCTTTTGGGGGTCACTTACCATTCTGGAATCTATTCGCAAGCTTTATTTTTTTCTAAAAGCCTGGTTTTTCATTAAAATGTGAAATTACAGGAATTCAAATTAAATTAAACTTTTAGATCAAATTAACCAGAATAAACCATAACTGACTTGGAGAATTCTTTTAACCCAGCTAGTATGGCCTACATTTGAAATTCACAATAAATCCCCAACAATCCTTAGTGATTAACCCAGTAAATGTTAACATTGGAAAACATTGGAAGGTCCTGACGTTATTGCAGAGCTGTGAGCATACAGATATTTTTTTATTTGATGGGTATTATTTATGAGAATTAAATCCAGATTTATAAGTGGCTATGCATGCAGAACATGTTTCGATATTTAACTGTATGTTTTTATATCCTTTCCAAATTATAAATATGTGCAGTCATACTATATGTACAGTTACACCTGGTGCTTTGCTAATGAGCCCTTGGTGCTCAGGGCCTGGGTATATCATTAGCCTCTGTCCCATTATTACCTCTGGAGTTTGGACTTGCGGAAGGCACAGGTGTAATAATCCAGGGGTTTGTTTGGAACGTGGTGGTACATGGGGTTTGGGATGTAGAAATTTTGAAGGAACCTGTCTGACGAGTTGGTGTCTGGGTTTGGAAGAGCCTAGAGGATAGAGTATAAATCAGATACAATGAAGCATCACTAATGTCACTTTAACCCAATTATCTCTGCTGATATAAGTGTCAGACCTGGAGTGGCGCTCTCATGCTCAACTCTTCGGCGTAATACACCAGGACCTCCCAGGGGGCGCTCAGTTTCAGATAGTGCAGAGCTTTCCTCTCACTGAGCATCTGCTCCTGGGGTAAGAGAAATGGTAAAAATGAACACCGTCTCCTGATATTAGAAAATACTCAACAAACAGTGCACCCAGCTTACACAGACATTCTCACCAGTCCCTATGAGTTACAATGTATAGAAAGTTCGCTTGTCGGTATATTCTTAAAGGGACTTTCCAAATACCTGGAGTACTTTACTGTAATGAAATGTTTTAGATAAGGAAGAGTGTGTCCTCTTTTTTTAATTTCACAAAAAGGGCAGATTTAATAAAATGTGGCACTTTTATTAAACAACCTAGATACTACCCCCCAGCTGTCAATCAGACAACCAGTCCTGTTACTGGTAATGGAGTTACATTAAGAAATCTGTGGTTTGACAGCCACAGAACAGCTATGGAAGGCTTGCAAATGTTTCAGACATGTCATCTTCAGTATACCCTCAATGAAAAAAACATAATTAAAAGTATGCGTGTTTTCATTAGGGTTATATTTTTGGGATTATTAGGGATTTATTTAATTGTAGTTGGGCATTGGAATGTCCATGTAAAGTGGATAGGCTCCAAGCATAACTATTGGTGGCAATGCCGGTTATTGTCTAATCTGTAAAATGATGGTAACTAGGGATTTGAAAGATAAAAATAGCCAAAATCTCTCTAACTCATCTATGTTTCCAGCTCAGCTATTTGACCTTAAATGTGCCATTCCCTGGTGAATTCCTGACAATTCAAAGCTTAGTGAATATTCCTGTTTATAAAAATATGATAACCCACACAGTACTGGCTCTGCGCTCTTACTAAATAACGCTCATCGTCTCAAACTCGCTGCCATGTTCCAGCATACCTTCTCACACAGGAGCCCCGCTTTCAGAAGATTGCGGTGGAAGCGTCTCCTGTATCTGTCCTTCTCCCCTAGGACCTTGGATTTCCTCTGCTGTTCCCTGGAGTCTTGCTCCTGTCCCCGGACTGATCCCTTTTGGTAGTTCTTCTTTGATGAATGGAGCTTCTCCTCCCAGACCAGCACAAAATCTGCCAGAAATCAGATTGAAATGGCTAGAGGGAGGCAGATTTTACCGCTCCCATGTAATAGTGGGCCATTAATGTAATAGTGTATGTTTCCACAGGTAGAAAGATGTGTATTGCCTAACAAAGGTAGAAACCCTCCTTACTGAAATTACCTTCTTACTAGAATCATTCAAAGGTAATTGCAAAACAAAAAAATAAATAATAAACTTTATTTAAACAAGATCCTAAAGTTAAAATGTGATAGAGAAAAGTGAACAAAAGGGGCAGGAGAAAGTGTCTTGTAATAATCAACCAGTATAAGGGGTATTGCGAAATCCCTATATAAAACCCAAGTGTGCTGCATGCACAAAACAATATGTATGGTATAGTCTGAGAAGGGCAAAATGTCCTAGGTGCTCAGGATATCAGTTACACAGCAGGCAGCATAAAGAACATGTAGCCTGTGTAGGAGAGTAGGTGAAAAGATAGTCAGAGATAGGTAATAGCCAGATAGGTTATAGCCGTTCTATGAATAAGAACCCTCAGATGGAGTAGTGGGAGTAGACGTGCATCTAATTGGATGGAGGCATAACCCCACAATGAAACCAATGGCAGCCAAACCCCACTCCCAAACCAGCTGTGCTAATAACCCTCCGTATCTAGGAGGCTATCCAGAGAAATGGCTAGAGCTATCCAACCTAATCACCTAGGCCAGTGATGGCGAACCTATGGCATGCGTGCCACAGGTGGCACACCGGGCCCTCTCTGTGGGCACGCGGCTATAGGTTCGCCATCAATGCAGAGTAGGCACCTGCTTCCCAAAACGGCAGGCGCCTACTCTGCTTCCGTGTCGGCAGGACCGGGAGCAGGGGGGAGGGATCGAGAAAGCAGCTCTCCTGTCCTCCCGCGAGATGTGTGGAGCGTTGCCGCGCTTTACCATGGCAACGCTCCACACAGCATCGCGCGGGAGGACATGAGAGCTGCAGGACCTGTCCTAGATACTTACCATCATCGGACCACCAGGGATGGCTGTGTTCTCCCCCCTCCCCTCCACCAAAGGTAAGAAGAAGGGAGGGGGGGATACTGACTTAATATTGCTTTAAAAAATAAAAAAAATGTTTTAATGTATCTTCAACCCCCACACCCCCACACAGCACCCCTACCCACCCCCACACAGCACCCCTACCCACCCCCACACACAGCACCCCTACCCCACACAGCACCCTACCCCCCACACACACACAGAACTCCCACACACAAAGCACCCCTACCCCCACACACAGCACCCCACCCCCCACACACACCCGACCCACCCACACACACAGCACCCCACCCACACCACAGCCACCCACACCTCACCTACACACACACACAGCCACCCTACCCCACACACCTGCAACCCTACCCCTTCACACACACTGCACCCACCCTTCCACACACACTGCACCCCTACCCCCCACACACATCACCCTACCCCCACACACTGCACCCCTACCCCACCACCACCACTAACACTGCACCCTACCCCCCACACACATAACCCTACCCTCCCCACACAGCACCCCTACCCCCACATGCTTTAAAAATTTTTATAATGTATCTTCAACCCCCCACACACCCCCCCCACACACACAGCACCCTACCCCCACACACATCACCCTACCCCCCACACACACACAGCACCCCTTGCACACAGCACTCCACACCCTTTCACATACACTGCACCCCTCAATGCAGTATGTGTGTGTGTGTATTCAGCGGACTGTGTGTATGTTTGTGTGTGTGTGTGTGTATTCAGCAGTGTGTGTGTATTCAGCGGACTGTGTGTGTGTATTCAGCGGACTGTGTGTGTGTTTGTGTGTGTATTTAGCAGTCTGTCTGTGTGTCGGTCGGTTTATGTATTGCATTTTTTGGAGATACTAATAAATCTAAACTTAAATTTTATCTATTTATATCATTTAAAATTTGTATCATTGAACTCTCTGTTGTGTTCTTTTAAAACAAAAGATGCTAACTAGTTCGGACAATTGGACGAGTTCTTTTTTCTAAACTTAAACCTCAGTATTCAGGTTTAAGTGCCGTGTTGGCACTTTGAGGGAAAAAAAGTTGGTATGTATTGCAGTTTGGGCACTCGGGCTCAAAAAGGTGGCCATCACTGACCTAGGCTATACACACATGCACACTAGATTCATTACACAAATAGTGTGGAGGTAGACCAAATAAAATAGTGTGTGGTTAAGTGCAATAAAATTACTGCATAGACAGAATACAACACATTACCCCTCTGCAACCAGAGAGGATTATATTACTGCTTCAATACTAAATCAGCTGTCTGTACATCACATTTATTTATTCATTCTTTTTGCTCCTCTGTTTGATTATCCTGTAGGATAGTAAGATATATTCAGCTTACTTGAGAGGAAATCTTAATAATGCAATTTATTTTCTCACCAATCTTTGTCTTGCTGTCCTTGAAGAAGTTTTCGTTGGGGCCATATAGCTCGGAATCAGGGATGTATATCGGATCTTCATCATCATCTTCGTCTTCCTCCGCTCCATACTGGATCAGCGGCAGTATGAATAAACAGGGATTGCATGATTTAACAGAACTTACAATTTGAAGTCCTATGTTACTAGTCAGTCCTTAAAAGTTATTCTCCACTGCCCATCATGGCATAGTCACCAATGACTAGTGGTGAATGGAAATATTAAACCCTGCTCAGAACCCTCTCATCCCCACCGTCTGTTTCAAAATCTGAACTCCTGCCCATCCCAGCTTTAATTGTACATCTTCCCCTTTAACATCAGAGATGAAGCCTGTAATGGATCTATTCAGCTACTCCACTAGGTGGTTCAGTAGAATGATAGAAACTCATTTTTTTTTTGTAATTGCCATTGTTTGGTGGGCTAGTCATTTTGAGCGGACAGCTGTCATAAAAAAAGACAGATTTTTATCCAACCTGCTTTTTTACCCACTTTATTCAAACTGGTTGCTAGTTTGCAGCTGATTATTAAATAAGTAAAATTTCCCACAAAAGTCAAACTTCAGTGAGAATTCCATACAGAAATTAATTGGTTGAAACTAATCCCATGTTCATAATACGATCTGCCAGATTGGTTTCTTGTTCCCTAATGTTTTTGGTAAATGTTTGCAAATAGGATTAATCTTTATAGTTTCCGTAACCCCAACAGAACCTGACCCAGCATGTGGGGTACATGGGACACGCTGGGGCGGCCTGAGAGCAGTTTACTACTGCCTTGACAAAGCCCCATATAGTGGCCGAAACATTACCAGGGGTACATAGAGTGAATATGGCACGGACAATAGTTAAGAGATAATTGGATTCCTAATGAACCCCTCTACAGTCAGGCCTCCCCATTTCCCCAGTACTGGAGCCATTACATATGACAATATGCTTACATAATCGGGGGCAGCAGCCCTTCCATTGGAAGCCCAGCCAGGTGATTCTCCCAGGAGTTCCGAGGCATCCTTCTCCAGGTCTACCAGGGAACTGGTATCCAGGTCAGACCAGTCCGAAAGCTTCCTCCGGAACATCTTGACCAGAGGGGCTACATATCCCGGAATGGATTATAGGTCTGCGCCAGAGGGGTGAGATCAAGGAAACAAACAGAAAAAATAACACACAAAGTATAACGCACAAACAAGCAACACTGGAGATGGAGAACCCTGAGGGTCTTAGTGTGAGGCTAATGATAGACCACAGGAGGGTGAGGACCAGGAATGGGCTGGGAGGAAGGCTGCAGACACAGAAAGCATCAGAGAGGCTGCAGGAAGGATGCTGCGGGGAGAGGATGCCATTGGTTCTAAGGATGGGTTTTTTCTTTGCAGAGAATGATCCTTTTCACCTCTGCTCCTGAGATAGCAGGGCTGATTGTGCTGCAGTGTGTGGTCTCAGGAGGAAAGGCGGGAGAGATGAGAGCAGCCAGCACAGTATTCATAGCAAAGAATATTCCCAGTACTGCAGGAGGAGGAGGAGGACATAGCAACCTCCCCACCCCATCTCTTACCGTTCAACGATACAGCATTGTACAGGCAGCAAGAATTGGCTCAATACTAGGGGTTGTCTATAACAGGACAGGAGGGGTCCAACGTTAACTGTCTAATAACAGGACAGGAGGGGTCCAACGCTAACTGTCTAATAACAGGACAGGAGGGATCCAACGCTAACTGTCTAATAACAGGACAGGAGGGGTCCAACGTTAACTGTCTAATAACAGGACAGGAGGGGTCCAACGTTAACTGTCTAATAACAGGACAGGAGGGGTCCAACGCTAACTGTCTAATAACAGGACAGGAGAGGTCCAACGCTGTCTAATAACAGGACAGGAGGGGTCCAACACTAACTGTCTAATAACAGGACAGGAGGAGTCCAACACTAACTGTCTAATAACAGGACAGGAGGGATCCAACGCTAACTGTCTAATAACAGGACAGGAGGGGAAGTCAGGAGGGGTCCAAAGCTAACTGTCTAATAACAGGACAGGAGGGATCCAAGACTAACTGTCTAATAACAGGACAGGAGGGGTCCAACGTTAACTGTCTAATAACAGGACAGGAGGGATCCAATGTTAACTGTCTAATAACAGGACAGGAGGGGTCCAACACTAACTGTCTAATAACAGGACAGGAGGGGTCCAACACTAACTGTCTAATAACAGGACAGGAGGGGTCCAACACTAACTGTCTATAACAGGACAGGAGGGGTCCAGCGCTAACTGTCTAATAACAGGACAGGAGGGGAGGTCAGGAGGGGTCCAAAGCTAACTGTCTAATAACAGGACAGGAGGGGTCCAACGCTAACTGTCTAATAACAGGACAGGAGGGGAGGTCAGGAGGGGTCCAAAGCTAACTGTCTAATAACAGGACAGGAGGGGTCCAACGCTAACTGTCTAATAACAGGACAGGAGGGGAGGTGAGGAGGGGTCCAAAGCTAACTGTCTAATAACAGGACAGGAGGGGTCCAGCGCTAACTGTCTAATAACAGGACAGGAGGGGAGGTCAGGAGGGGTCCAAAGCTAACTGTCTAATAACAGGACAGGAGGGGTCCAACGCTAACTGCCTAATAACAGGACAGGAAGGGAGGTCAGGAGGGGTCCAAAGCTAACTGTCTAGTAACAGGACAGGAGGGGTCCAACACTGTCTATAACAGGACAGGAGGGGTCCAACACGAACTGTCTAATAACAGGACAGGAGGGGTCCAACACTAACTGTCTATAACAGGACAGGAGGGGTTTTGAAACACTGTAAAGGAGTTTAAGCATGCGTGGGATATGCATAAGGCTATCCTTACTATTAGATAAGGCCAGGGACTAATGAAAGTATTTAGAAAATTGGGCCGACTACATGGGCCGAATGGTTATTATCTACCGTCACGCTCTATAAGAGTAAAATCAAACGTACATTAATACAGTGTTGAAAATGATATTGTATGGCTTGTGTGCTGGTGGCATTGCTGATATTGCTGCTGTCTTGTCGATGACCCAGTGAGATTGCTAGAGAATCAGTGGCATTGGTGAAGCCTGTTTGGATTGGTAAAAGTTGTGACTAGCAAAGGATTAATTATTATTATTTTTGCCATTTATATAATGCCAACAGATTCCGTAGCACTTTACAATATTATAAGGGGGGATTTAACTATAAATAGGACGATTACAAAAAACTTACAGCAACAACAGGTTGAAAAGGACCCTGCTTAAATGAGTTTAATGAGAATAGTTAAAGGATCACTATAGTGTCAGGAAAACAAACTCGTTTTCCTGACACTACACCCCTTAAAACGCCTTCAGTTACTTACTTTAATCCAGCGCCAAGCTCCCTCTGCACTGGTGACCTCTCCTCCCACTCTGACGTTGGCTCCCAAGTGGAGCGGAATGCACATGCGCGCGTGCATTCAAACAGTCCATAGGAAGCACCTCTAGCGGCTGTCAGGAAGACAGTCACTAGGGGCTGGATTAACCCTGCAATGTAAACACTGAAACTGCTATGTTTACATCTGAAGGGTTAAAACCTGGGGGACCTGGCACCCAGACCACTTCATTGAGCTGAAGTGATCTGGGTGACTATAGTGTCCCTTTAACACCCACTAGAGTATTTGAAAACTTTCTGTCGTTGACGAAGGATCATTGATGCTGGTGTAAGGTTGTAGCAATAGATCATGGATTGGTGAGACTGGAACAGAGTATTGCATTGGCTGCAAACAAAATATATAGACGTAATGAAACCCCTGCCCTCTCCATCTATACGGCAACACCACACCTCTCCACACACACAACCCCCATTAGAATTACCCTTAAAGGGACACTTCAGACATCTAAGAACTGTAGCAAAAAACATAGATTTTAATAAAAATTGTCACTTTTATAAATTAAACTTATTACACCCCCTGGCTGTCAATCAGACACCCGGTCCTGTTACTTCCTGGTTGCTAAGCTTGCTGGAGCAAAACTCAAGAGGCAACAATTGTCCAGAGCACCTGCTTTGCAAAGACTTCTCCTTGAGCTGCACTGGGAAGTCTGTGATTGGACAGCGACAGAAAGTCTGGGCCGGGTTAGAAGGGGAGGACTGGTAAAGACTGCAGACAAAAGATCTGCAGCTTTTGCAAGCTGTTTTTAGATATTCTCTCAATTAATAACCTCTTAAGGACGGCGGGCGTGCTATGCCATCCTTGGGGACCCGGCTCTAAACGCCGGCGGGCGGCATAGCACGTCTACACTGTCCTTCCCACTTACCTGCTAGCTGACGATCACGATGGGGGGACTTACCTGGCATGGCAGGGAGTCCCCCTGCTGCCAATCTGGCCCTCGTGGGCTGTGTGATCGTGAGGTCCTTGCGAGGACCTCACGATCACATGGACGGAATAGCAGTGCCAGCAGGGGGGGTGCCTGGAATGAAAGGTAGTCCCCCTGCTGCCTGTAAAAAAATGAAAAAAGTTAAAACAGTACAAAATAAAACAATATATACTTAGATCATATATATAATATATATACACATACACTAGCTAAGTGTATTTTAATATCAATATCTATCTATCTATATATAATATATACACACACATATATATATACATATATATATATATATATATATATATATATATATATATATATATATATATATATATATATATATATATATATATGAAATGGGGGGGTGGAGTCTAGCCAACTCCTTGGTTTTGCACCCCTCCCTGTCACAGGTGCCTCATCCCAGGGCCATATTTAGCTTTGTACTGCAGAGAGCCCCAGATGGAATTTTTTCCCCAAGTAAGTGGGTTAATCTCATAAGAGCAGACATTAGGCTGTTAGTGTAGGACCTGCCAAGATGGGGTACATTGACGTTGTGGCAGGCTTATGCAATGTATGATCATATAATGTAACTAAACCCCCATTATTTTTGCCTAGAATAGGTGTTTTTAAAAAAAACTAATAAAATCTTTCAACATGGAAGTTGCTGTTTAGTGGATAGGTGAGTGCACTGGATCTTGTGTATTATATATATATTTTTATTAATATCAAAATAAACGTAGAATGATATTAAATATATATTTATAATTATATATATATATATGTATATATATATATATAGAATATAAAAGTTAAAAAAATATATAAATACCTTAAAAAGGAAAAAATTAAAAATAATTAGAAAATATATATATATGTGTGTGTTTAATATGTATATATTAATATCTAAATACACTTTGAATAAAAATAGATATATACCTTTATGTAAACAAAAAAATATATATATATGTATATAATTCTACGTATATATATTTATGTAATATTTTTACATAATTAGGTCATTTTATTAATTACAATTTGCGGGACCTGCCAAATAACCCAGGCAGAAAGTCCAGAGAATTTAATTTGCTAGCACTATATTTAACCCTATAACTTCCCAAGACACCATGAAACCTGTACATGGGGGTACTGTTTTACTCGGGAGACTTCGCTGAACACAAATATTAGTGTTTCAAAAAAGTAAAATGTATTACAACAATGATCTCATCAGTGAACTTGGCTTTTTTGCATTTTTCACACACAAATGGCAGGTACACTGACGATATAATTGTTGTGATACGTTTTACTGTTTTGAAACACTAATATTTGTGTTCAGCGAAGTGTCCTGAGTATAACAGTACCCCTCATGTACAGGTTTTATAGTGTTTTCAAAAGTTACAGTGTCAAATATAAGGCTTGCGTTTCAGTTTTTTCTCACTGAAATTTGAAAGATTGGTTATGTTGCCTTTGAGACCGTACGGTAGCCCTGGAATGAGAATTACCCCCATGATGGCATACCATTTGCAATAATAGACAACCCAAGGTATTGCAAATGGGGTATGTTCGTAAATTCGTTTTTTTTGCATTTTTCACACACAAACAAATATTAACACTAACTTAGGCCAGTGTTTGTGACTGTTTTTGATCTGTTTTCGTTAACAGCATTCAAAATTATTTGTTAAGGGGGGCATTTACCAACATGCTCGATCTATTTGCTAATACGAGAGCCAAGGCTGTTACTGCACCAGGCTCACAATGTAAACAGGTTAATTACAAAAACATGGCCTATAATTAGTACACAGAACACTGCTCTCTGCGTTACACTGTAATATCATATGACAAACAGTCACAGTGAGAAAAATCAGTCTTCTAAAGCTTTAAAAAAAAATTGTCATTTTATGAAAATATGGAGCAAATGGGAGAAAATTGGAGATGGGGAAATGGTGGGATGGTTAAGGACAGGAGAATGTGCGCCCAGGGGGTGGGGTGTGTATGGCACATTCATTTTAAATTAAATTAAATTGAAATATTTGTTTAGCAAAAATACAACACAAACATCAGAAATAACTTAATGGCTGAAACTGTGCATATCACAAATCAGCACTAATAGTCATTTCAAACTACCTCTCCGCCTTGCCGGTCCAAACATGATATATTGTATATGTGAATATTCACTAGCCACCAAATTCTAGAGAAATAAACAAACAATTAGCAAAATGATGCTAAATTAACCAAGTTGGAGAGGGATTTCAAATTAGTACTTTTAGCCTGATTTAGTTAATAAACCACACAGTGCCCACTATATGTTTCACTACCTGCATGATAGGTTGGGCGCTGGCTTTACACAGGCTATTCTGGAAGCGGTAGAATGGAGTCTAGCAGTCTGCTGTGAGGAAAATGACAGGAGTGATATATTTACTAAGGAAGGGCTTTAATGGACCCTCAAATCACCATTTACTATATATCTGCAGTTTTCCACTTTATAAATGACTATCTGTAATTCACAGCTCATTTAAACAGCCCCCTCCAACTTTGCAACGACTAGACGTGTTTTATCTTATAAGCAAGTCGAAACACGCCTGTAACATTTGGAGAATAGCTTAGTAAATACACAGAAAGGCGGATCTTGTTTCCCTGTCCATTATACAAGAGTTATTTAGACTAAAAGAAGATTCCTGTCCATCAAGTCCAACCCTTTCACGCATCCAGTAGGTTGATGGCAATAACCCCTAGAAATGGAGATAAACATTCCTGACCCTGAATTGGCATTAAATGTCCCTGTTGACTAAGCAGCATTATAGTTACAGTATTGGTCTGACCTTTACTAGACTGAGCTCCCTAATTACCCATGGGTAAATACCACTAAATCCAGGGGCATTATCTACTTTTACCAATTGCTTTAGCATTTTACCCTGTGGTAGCAAGTCATATTTTTTGTTACACTGATGTGTATATATCAACAAAATTACAAAAAAATGATAGTCAACGGTACCAGCATCTTTGTATTTTAAATAGCTGTTTAAGCTCTGTATATAATACTTTTATTATTTTGTAGTTTAAATTCATAATCCCAACAATTTTATATTTTCATCTAAACTACTGTAAATGTATCTGGAATTACCACTTGAAGAACAGTGTTTCAGCGTGGAGGCGGCCATCTTGAGATTACATCAAAATATCTAGTCACAGTGACAGCCATTGAATAGAAAAAAACATAAAACAAGGCTATAGAGAGCATGTGATGTCAGCAGCCAACCAGACGTTTTGTTTATTGAATTGTATAAAGTTATAAGAAAAAATGCTGGGTAGACAAAAAAAAAAAAAAAAACCTCAAAATATTGGTAGTTTTATATTTTCCTCTAAACATCCTGCACTTTTTACACCATTGATGTAATTACCTTCTACTACATCTTATAAATCATGTTTCTGTATATCAGACTTGGTTTGTTGTTTATAATTTCTTGCATCCTTTACATCCATTGTACAGCGCAGCAGTATATGTTGGTGCTGTATAAGTACATATATATACATACACTTGAGAACAGGTGTGAATAAGTCGCTCATTCGTGTTCATGGTTGTGTTCCAACAAGCATTACAATTAATCTCTGTCCTGAGGCTGCAGTAAAGAGAGGAATATTACAGAATATTCAACATATCTTCTGCTGAACACGTGCCCTTCATTTTAACTGGTTCATTGTCAAAGAAGCCTGATCTGTAGTGGTGTTTGGCAGTAAGATGGTTATACGGCACAGACTAACTGTGTTTAATGGCGTGTCTTATAAGACACCCAGAGAGCACAGATATGAATGCAGTTCTGCAACAAGCATTTGAAAGTATCTTCTAATTGAAATTAAACAAATATAAGTGTTTGAAAAATGATCTGATATTTTACATTAATTTAGCAGCTACCACACAAAATAGGGACTCTCTCCCCCACAAAATTTTATAGAAAAGATGCACACAGAAGTGAAAAATATATTTATCCCACCACTGGTGTATAAGTGGAGGGCTTATAATTTTTGAACTTACCCCTATGGGTTAACACAATTTTCGTTTTTAAACAATGTGTTTCAATATATAGATCTGTCACAATAAAGCTAACATAGTGCAATATTATAGTGATACAGAATTTTGAAGTGATTATGGTGATACGGATCACAATGGTTTCACTCACATGGGACAGAGCCTCCTGGGATAGGCTCAAGTCACTTGGGCATTTGGTGACACCAAACCCTTGATTCTCTTGGTTTACAGGTACCTCAGAGGAATTAAAAAAAGGAGAGAAGAGGGCAGGGAAATAGGGGAAGCGATGCAGCTTCTAGTGTAATTTCTCCCACATACAGTAGAAATGCATTAAGGAACAAATTGGCTTCTCACCTTTCAAGGAGCCTGGACCTGGCTCCTGGTGTATGGATATGTGTGCCTTTAAGGGGGCATCTACCCTTCTTTAGTGGAAGGTGGTCGACTTGTAGCTTGTATAAAAGAAATTTATTGAACAAGTAAATAAAAAATCGTACCTTGTTAAAAGGGACATCTGATCTTTCCTTAACCACAGTGACCACATCCCACTATAGGAACATGTAATTCACTTCTGAATAAGGTGCCAACATTTTGGTTAGTTCAATAAGGACACATCTTCTGCCCTGCAAATTATGGTGGCACTATTCAACATAAAACAGAATAATACTTTGCAAAATAGACATTGTTCTGGAAAAACAGACGTATTTGTTGAAATTTGAATATCCATTTGAATGTAGCACTTTAAATAATGATTTAACAAAGGTGTAGAGGTCAATATAAAACAAAAGCAATTTTTGAATACCATAAAAAATGCCTTTTCCAAATAGTCTAAGCTGCTCACACAAGGAGTGGACACTGTAAACATTCGGAAAAGAAAAATCAAACATTTTCTTAGATCAAAATCACCTGGAAAAGCCTAGTTTAAAAGATATACTTACCTGAAGCTGCATGCTGCACTCCCACACTGGCACAAATGGGCACCAGAATGCCAACAAATATGGAGTGCAGCACCCTGTACACTGCCGCCGTGGTGCTAGCTGTGGCAGACATGAGTGGCATGTTGAATGACAGCTTGCTTGTCTTCCCATCAACTGCCTAAACGATCAGGTGTATACTTCATATTGATCACAATCAGGATAATGGGTCTGTATCCTGCGCCACTCCATTCTAATCAGTCTCTACCATCTCTGCTGGAACGCTACTCCATGCATCGTCAATACAAATAAACAGTTTGCTTGTGTTCCTCCTCCCTGATTTCCTTTAACCCCTTAAGGACACATGACATGTGTGACATGTCATGATTCCCTTTTATTCCAGAAGTTTGGTCCTTAAGGGGTTAAGGCAGTAAATGTGAATATAGAAATGTTTGAAAACAAATAGTTACCTATTCACCATAGATTTGGGTAGATTTGGCTGCTAAAGTGACACTGTATTAGATTTCCATAATGAGTGCATTAATGGACCTTGGGACCCAGCTGGGTCAGAGATCAATGCAATGCTTAGTAATTACTCAAGCCGGATAATACCTGCCAGCCCTGTAGGAGTTAATCAGGAAGCATGTTCATTCAATAGAACTTACATCATTTTCTAGTTGAAATGTCATTACTCTTTAAATTGCCCAACTATGCCTTAATCAGTCTAACCCGTGTAATTGGGGTCAGGTCCTCTTTCCTGCTATAAATCAAACCCCTGTTTGGGATCTGTCACTGGAGCTGCAGCCAGGGAAGTGAGGTCAATGTGTGTTTTCATGGAAATGCCTTAATCTTCTGCAAACTGGCCTCGGGAGCCTATTTTTGGCCAGTGGCGCTCACTCTGATTCAAAGATGGGGTGTATAACATATTTTAACCTAATCACTGTACAGAAGTTGTGTTCACTACACAGAGGTCACTGCTTCCTGAGCATCATTTCACAAAGTGACAGCAGCAAATGTAATGACCAGCATCTGTATTTACTATTATTATGGAGTATTGTCCAGGGACACAGACTCTCAGCTGTGAATGCCCTATAAACATTAGTATATAACAAACACATGGAATGGGAACACAAAGGTTAAAAGGCACAGTAGTATTATGCTGCCCCCTGCTGGTCAAGGAAACGATAGCCTTCAGTTTTTTGAGTACAGAATTCTGCAAGTGTGCTAAATGTGTGGGACGTGGCTCTGGTGGTTATACAATGATAGACTTTAGTCCAGCAGCCACTTGGTCTCTGTGCCACAGCAATTCTGCCAAGCCATTCAGCACAGGAGCTGCATCTGCCAATCCAACGCTCCCATCCAGACTGCGCCCATCAGACAGCCAGGGACCATTGACACTTCTCACCCGCATTATGGGCAGGTGCCACGTCCTCTGGAAGTCACGAAGGTCCTGTTCTGTGACATCAGTGTGCATGTACTGATCTAGTCTGACATGGCGTTAAGGAACCCAAACATAACCATCGCTTTACACATCTAGAGAAGCTTCCTGGCTCTACATACGGCTATTGAGGAGTCAAAATAAATGGGTTTATTCACTAAAAAGTGGTATGTGTGATATGATGGTAAATACGGTGTATGATATGGTAGTAAATAGAGTGTGTGATATGATGGTAAATAGAGTGTGTGATATGGTAGTAAATACAGTGTGTGATATAATGGTAAATACGGTGTATGATATGGTAGTAAATAGAGTGTGTGATATGATGGTAAATAGAGTGTGTGATATGGTAGTAAATACAGTGTGTGATATAATGGTAAATACGGTGTATGATATGGTAGTAAATACAGTGTGTGATATGATGGTAAATACGGTGCGTGATATAACAATCCATTTTGTGGATATGTTAAATGTCCCACCACAATGTCGTATAATAAACTTATAATATGTAATAACACATTCTGGGTTTTTTGCGTGGTGGGAATTGTGGGAAAAGGCTCACTGGGTTAATGTCCTTGTTGGGAAACTGCTTGTGTGCACATATTATATTACTAATCCGTCCATGTATGTGCATTAGGTCACACCTCAGACCTCAGCTACAATAACTATTTGTTACAGAACAGAAGAAACTGGCCAGGTGGCCAGGTAGCTTATTAGCAGGATACTTGGTACCAATCACCACTCGTGCCAGATCCTCATCCTCACCGAGCATCCGCGAGATTAGTGCCGGGACATCCTCAAATGATGAACGATCTGTGAAGGAAAACACGAAGAGAGCTGCATCTCCTTTTTCCTTGCATGCCTTGAGAATAGCATAAAAAACAGCACAATTAGCAGGCACTTGCTACAACCACACTTAAATGTATTTAAATTGAATGAGTTAAAGGGACACTATAGTCACAAGACAATTTTTGCTTAATGAAATAGTTTTCTAGTGTAGATCATGCCCTTGATGTGCCACTGTTCAATTCACTGCCATTTAGGAGTTAAATCACTTTTGTTTCTGTTTATGCAGCACTAGCCACAATTCCCCTCATACAGCCTGCATGAAAACAAAATGGCTTCATATTCAATCACATGTAACTTTATTTACTTTTTTTTTATCTTGTGCTCTGTAAATTTAACTTTAATTATATACAAGAAGCTCCTGCGGCATCTTGCAAGCTATTCACAGAGCAGGGTATAATAAATTCTAAATTAAACAATTTGCAATAAAGTTTAAATATTAGATGACTCTTTGCAGGAAGTTGTTTGGAAGGCTGTGTAAGTCACATGGAGAGAGGCATGCCTAGGGCTGCATAACACAGTGATTTAACCCCTAAACGGCAGAGATTTGAGCAGTGATACTGCAGGGTCATGACCTATACACCAAAACTGCTTCATTAAGCTAAAGCTACTTTGGTGACTATAGTGTCCCTTTAAACTCCAGGAAAAGCTAAACATGTCTACTTGTCCCATTATACGGTCTATACCATTGTGTCTGTTATACTATGCATTAAGACTTAAGAGGGTGAAGCTATACCTTAGTATTTTTATGTTGGGGTTTATCAACAAAACAGGGAATTGAATCAAACTGAAAGTGCTTTATGTGGCTCTAGATCTTATCCTTGACAAAGGTCCTGTTGTGGGCCGATATGTTGCATTCATCTGCTCCCATTTATATTTACTGGGTGTGCCGAGACCATCATTTGTTCTCTGCAAACTAGATCGTATCCTAGTCATCTCACTGAGGTCAGGGCACAGATAGGAGAGATTAACTAAGCATTGAAAAGCTCTGTGTGGAAATTCCTACAATAATCTGAGTCATATTTTCGAAAGGAATCTCTGTAACATTTCACCATTTACTGAATTTCTTTCTAAACGAACAACCCAGCCCATTCGTGATGCTAACCGGTAAGATATGATCAAACTTCCTTAGAGCGGATTCTCCGCAATCCCAGAACTGAAATCTGAAGATAACCGGACGTTCGCTGCCCCTGGGGCGGACTGGCCAGTACACACAGGTCGTTTGGATTCCTGGAAAATGCAGAACAGAGTTTACTGCAAAAATTGGATTACTTGAACTATAAACATGCCTATGAACCAGTCACACAACACAAAGAGGGCCCCAGTACACACCATTAGGAAGCTATTGACATACTATTGTGGCATGATGGGGATACATAGTGATTTGTGCTTATTCCATATACCTGGATATACCATCTCTAATGGGGGACCTGATACAGAAAATGAGCTCTGCGGGCATCTACTGGCCATGTCGCAAGGAGCAGTTACGGTCACATTACCAATTGTAACTGCCTGCACAACTTATTTTTTTTTAAATGAGCATTTCCTATTAATACCAGATTTTTGCAGGGTACCATGACTGGTTTCATCACTAGCATGAGCCATCCTTACTAAAACGCTAGACTCAACAGGGAAAAAGACAGCATCTCACATAGCATGTAGATATTTGCAAAACAATTTATTCCTCAGTTTAAACATTTACATGGTCACGGGGGAGATTATCCAATAGAAGATGTTTATGCATTCGTGCTATAAAGAAACTTTGTCACAGACATTTATCACTGCGGGAACAGATTTTTAAAAAGAGGGAAAATATAATATTAATTGAGTCATTAACCACAGACTTTGCCATCCTGACTGATGGCTCAGTTATGAGAAAGTCAGTAACCATACTTTAAATTATTATTATTAAACATATTCTGCAGAGCTTTGCAATGATAGAAAGGGATAAGAAGAAGGAAGGCCTTGCTCAAACACGCTTATAACCTATGAGAAAACATGGGCCATTATGTACTTGGAATTTATTGTAACACTGTTTGTAGCTTAATAAAAAATAGATAGTTGCCAGCAACACTGTTTCATCATCAACTAAACAGGTTCCACAGAGCATTATATACACACACACACTTATCAATATTGAAACATTTGACAAAGGAAAATACATTAGGAAAAGGTTAATTCATGCGTGAAACTTGTGTGTATCATACTATTCTATTTTGTTTTACTATCTTTCTGTTAACGTTATATATTATTACTATTCCTGGACCCTCCTGCTATTCCGAAGCTGATACATCTTCCTTGGTGGGGAATATACCACACACGCCTATGGATTGAGCATAAGTGAGTACATCTGTTATTTTACTCTACTTTTTAACTCAGTGTACACTGTTAAAAAAAATAATTCTCGTTTTAGATTTATTACAGTGAGGATTTTAACCTGCATATATCGATGAAAGAAATCTGCAGATATATCACAGAGTAGGGATTATTCCACAAGGAGCCATCAAAAGGCTCCATTAAATGTGAGTGTGCACTTTATCTATATTTTACCCACCTTCCTGGACTTTTAACATACTATACTATATCACTGTTATTATTCTGTTTTTATTACATGTTGGAACGAATATTCTATTGGCTTACAACCCTCAGCCCATATCCAAAGGCGGGGATTGTACTGCCGAGGTGCTACAACTTGAGCTAGTTCTCTATACACTGTAAGCGTATTTCTTTCTTTTTCCATATTAAAAGCATTAACATACTACACTATATTCCCTCTGTCTTCTCCTCCTCTTATTTCACATAACCCTGGATCTAAGGACCTTATCAAGGCGCTGCTCTCTGAACAGACGTCTTCTTTAACCACAAACCATTAACCAGGTAGGAGAGAATCTGGTTTGGGTTGTTCAAGCTGTCTTCCACACTATACAACAAGCACTAGAAACCTACCTACCTCTACTTTTATTTAGCAGCATTCATTGGTAATGCCCTAATATTAAGGGTTTGTCTCATTACGGACTCAAACGGTAAAATCAGTAGTGACAGTGCTATGTAATAGCCATCAGTCAACGAAGAGCTAGAAGACCATGTGCATTTACCTGTAGTCTCCTGGTGGGTGCGTGGAACTTCCAGTCCTGCTAGTTTTGCGATCAAAGCTGTTTTCCCAACGCCACTTTTACCGGCAACAAAAATCTTGTAGCTAGCTATATCCGCTGGAAGCTGCGGAGGGAGGACAGGCCTCTCGATAAGCCCTGCAAACAGTTAGAGAAATATTAAAATAATCTGCATGTCAGTTTTAACTCCATTAAAGACCAGTTACACTCAGATACCATCATGAGCTGGTCCTAAAAGACACCACGTCAGCATGGAATGGTCTGCTTATTTAGCATGGTAAACTCCTTGTAGCCATAATCAGTGGATAAGGTTTAATTAACTGTCTATAGATTTCACAAACACCAACCATTGTTGTACCCACAGGGTATTGCTAATGGGACATGTTAAGTCATTCTATTGAAAGCTATGAGGTACTTTCTGGTTTAATGAAAAATCACTGCAGAGACTGTGAAGCTTGATAATTTATAGGAAATGCAAAAACATCAAATGTGAATATATTAATAATAATAATAATAATAATAATAATAATATTCGATGTGATAGCCAAACTGGCCATCACAGCGAATATTAAAGTTATAAAGTGACTGCTGCCATATAGGGCTCATTAATGTATCATACTCTCTATTATTCAATTTAAAGGGGTGAAAATGGGATCTTTTATCCCTTTAAAGGTGGGAACCTTGATTCTTGGACAGTAACCATGGAAACTTAGAGAACACACAGGATGCCCAAAATGCAGACTTTTTGGGCTAGAATGGCATTGCACTCTAATAAAGTCTGCATTTTGGACATCCTGTGTGTGCCTGGATATTTGCTCTCTACATTTGATGGCTTTAATGGGATTGGTGATCTCATTGGTTCATGTGGCACCACAGTGTTGATTTTTTAAGTAAAAGGTATTTGCTGTTTTTGGTTTGTATTTGGAAGGAACCATGGAAACATTGCATCATCTTGATCCCACAAATAATAGACACTCATTTCCCTGGTATATTACTCCTGTACCTTTCCTGAAGATTGATAAATAATACAGAAAAATGACTCACCAAACAGCTTTCTTTTCTTCTTACGGAGAATGCAATTCAGATATTCTTTCCCTTCAGCAGTCTGATGCCAATCGGGAACGATCAGGGACCCTGGCTTGGGAAATGCTGCCCATGCCATATCCCCCTGGCCTTGTAGGTTCTAGGGCTATGTACTAATAAACGCCTAGGGACACAAATACATGGAGTTAGACACAAATTGCTATGAACCTTTCCATTAGCATGTTAATGTGGCGGTCAGACATTGTTTGAACAGAGAGCAGACATACAGTGGGCCACATATAAAATAACAATACTGGGCAGCTCTGAAAGTGGAGCAATCACCATGGAGACCAATGGAATGTTCCTGCTGATTGCTCCCCTTTTTAGAATGTTTCTATGTGTTTATTCATTCTGTTATGGGAGTATATTAAATCTCTATGATGAATGCAGCCAGTTATGTTTTCACTGTTTCCTAGTACACTTGTTTTAGTCTCAGTATCATTAACTGATTTTCACCAAGTTTTGCCCAAATCATGGTTTCTTTGCCTGAGTCACTACACATGGGATGTTTGGAGTAAAAAGGGGTCAAACCCAGGAAATGTAAATTTAGACCTTGTGTAATCCCACATCTTAAATCTGGTCCTGGCTGAGCGTTTTGGGGGTTACAGTCAGGGTGTTAATCAGGTCCTGGCTGAGCTTTGCGGGGGTTACAGTCAAGGTGTTAATCGGGTCCTGGCTGAGCGTTGTGGGGGTCACAGTCAGGGTGTTACTCGGGTCCTGGCTGAGCGTTGTGGGGTCACAGTCAGGGTGTTAATCGGGTCCTGGCTGAGCGTTGTGAGGGTCACAGTCAGGGTGTTAATCGGGTCCTGGCTGAGCGTTGTGGGGGTCACAGTCAGGGTGTTAATCGGGTCCTGGCTGAGCGTTGTGGGGGTCACAGTCAGGGTGTTAGTCGGGTCCTGGCTGAGCGTTGTGGGGGTCACAGTCAGGGGTGTTAATCGGGTCCTGGCTGAGCGTTGTGGGGGGTCACAGTCAGGGTGTTAATCGGGTCCTGGCTGAGCGTTGTGGGGGTCCGCAGTCCGGGGTGTTGTCGGGTCCTGGCTGAGCGTTGTGGGGGTCACAGTCAGGGTGTTAATCGGGTCCTGGCTGAGCGTTGTGGGGGTCACAGTCAGGGTGTTAATCGGGTCCTGGCTGAGCGTTGTGGGGGTCACAGTCAGGGTGTTAATCGGGTCCTGGCTGAGCGTTGTGGGGGTCACAGTCAGGGTGTTAATCGGGTCCTGGCTGAGCGTTGTGGGGGTCACAGTCAGGGTGTTAATCGGGTCCTGGCTGAGCGTTGTGGGGGTCACAGTCAGCAACAGGTCCTGGCTGAGCGTTGTGGGGTTACAGTCAGGGTGTTAATCGGGTCCTGGCTGAGCGTTGTGGGGGTCACAGTCAGGGTGTTAATCAGGTCCTGGCTGAGCGTTGTGGGGGTCACAGTCAGGGTGTTAGTCGGGTCCTGGCTGAGCGTTGTAAGTGTTGGAAACTCCCAGGACGCTCAGCCAGCCCGGGTGCTTACTCTAATTCCCCCAGCATGCCCCGCGGCCGGCAGCTCTCCGGTCCGGTAACTCGCTCCCTGCAGCCGGCACCGAGTACTTCCGCCTTCACCCGCCGCGAGGGGGCGGCACCGGCCGTTGTTATGGTGACCGGGCGGGAGGCAACCCCGAAATCAGCGTTTCCATAGAAACAGGGGGAGGGGGGAGGAATCAGACTGGGGGGAAACAGACAGACACACCGCATCCAACAGACACACCGCATCCAACAGTCACACCGCATCCAACAGACACACACCCCATCAAACAGACAGACACACCGTATCAAACAGACACACCGCATCAAACAGACACACCGTATCAAGCAGACACACCGCATCAAACAGACACACCGTATCAAACAGACAGACACACTGTATCAAACAGACACACCGCATCAAACAGACACACCGTATCAAGCAGACACACCGCATCAAACAGACAGACACACCGTATCAAACAGACACACCGTATCAAACAGACACACTGTATCAAACAGACACATTGTATCAAACAGACACACCGCATCAAACAGACACACCGCATCAAACAGACACAGTGTATCAAGCAGACACACCGCATCAAACAGACACAGTGTATCAAACAGACACACCGCATCAAACAGACACACCGCATCAAACAGATACAGTGCATCAAACAGACACACCGCATCAAACAGACACAGTGCATCAAACAGACACACCGTATCAAACAGACACAGTGCATCAAACAGACACACCGTATCAAGCAGACACACCGCATCAAACAGACACAGTGTATCAAACAGACACACCGTATCAAACAGACACACCGTATCAAACAGACACACCGCATCAAACAGACACACCGCATCAAACAGACACAGTGTATCAAGCAGACACACCGCATCAAACAGACACAGTGTATCAAGCAGACACACCGCATCAAACAGACACACCGCATCAAACAGACACACCGCATCAAACAGACACAGTGTATCAAGCAGACACACCGCATCAAACAGACACAGTGTATCAAACAGACACACCGTATCAAGCAGACGCACGCATCAAACAGACACACCGTATCAAACAGACACACCGCATCAAACAGACACAGTGTATCAAACAGACACACAGTATCAAACAGACACACCCCGTATCAGAAACTGAACACAGTGCATCAAACAGACGCACGGTATCAAGCGAACACGCATCAAACAGACACACCGTATCAAACAGACACACGCATCAAACAGACACAGTGTATCAAACAGACACACCGGCATCAAAACAGACACCGTATCAAACCGCTAGACACACGTATCAAACAGACACATTTAGCATCAAACAGACACACCCATCAAACAGACACACCGCATCAAACAGACACAGTGTATCAAACAGACACACCGCATCAAACAGACACAGTGCATCAAACAGACACACCGCATCAAACAGACACAGTGCATCAAACAGACACACCGTATCAAACAGACACAGTGCATCAAACAGACACACCGTATCAAGCAGACACACCGCATCAAACAGACACACCGTATCAAACAGACACACCGCATCAA